AACCAGCGTCCTCTGAATAGATTTCTGTGCATAGGCACAAAGTATGGATTCGATTTTCACGGGATTAAACTGACCTAGAGAGATTTACAGTGTGCTGGTTCAGCTCTTTGTGTCGAATTTTAGTGGTTGGTTCATGATTGCATCCAAGGAATGGGAGCACTCGCTGCAACGAAAAAAAAGGCGGTTTTCTGTTCCGTTTCATCGCAAGAACATGAGACGTCCATTCCAGGTCGTGAAGTATCTGTCATAAAGACGCCAGTTATTTTGAATTGTTCAAGTTATAGACAGATACCCCTAACTGCAATAAGGTGCGTGGAATTTAGTCACAGTGTTCTTGTCACGGTCCCTCAGGCGATCGACCAGTTGGGCGTTTGCTTTTTTATTGCTTCTGAACACTAGTCACACACTGTTGAAGTATCTCTTGAGTTTGAAGTGGTTTTGAACTTTCTGCTGAATGACCAATATGTTCAAGCACAGGGGGACAATAAGTATCTTCAGTTATTTGTGTTTTTCTCTATGACTGCCTGGTTTGGTGTTCATGTCAACGCGTGGAACCGAAAAGAACACGCAAACATCAATCTGTGGTCAGCAAAGCCCCAAGCTAGCGCCTGTAGTTTGAGAAATTACGGTTACGTTATTCCGTTTGGCTTACTGATCTGTCTCTTACTGCACACTTCGGCACTACATACATGGTATGCAGCTGCACCGAATTTTCACCTAACTGTCGTTGGTTCGTCCGCTGAGCTAGGCAAGTTGGTTACAAGCTTACCTTGCTCAGCGAACGAACTATCGACTATGCCACCTGAGCAGCGAAATCTCACCTTTTCGTCCATTTTTTTTCAATTATCAGCATGGGTCAGTAATATGTTTGAGAATACATCCGTACAAGTTTTTAAGGTAGACAGCTTAGGAGTGAATGAAAACCCATTACACTTGGTGAGTAGGTCTCACTTGCTTTACTCACCATCGCCCCGGAGGTCCATTTCGTTGCAACTCCTAACCGTCTTACATTTCCTCTCTGCAGCCCACTAAATCGCAATGGAGGATGAATACGTCGTGATTGTAAGTTCAATTTCTTCGTAGTTTCATTCTTGTTCAGGAAGAACAGGATCGTCCATATGAGGAGGATTTACTGCGCAATCCTCACAACATCAAATCTTGGCTGCGATATATTGAGATGAAATCGAAATCACCTCCAAAAGTTTTGTATATGCTTTATGAACGTGCGTTAAAACAGCTTCCTGGGAGGTAAGACTGGGTTTGCTGGCTCATGCATTGCCGACAGCTACAAACTATGGTATCGTTATCTGCGATTACGACGCATACATGCCCGTCGTTTGTGTCCTGGTAGCATTTTGCACGAAGAGACCAATAATGCCCACGAGCGTGCTCTGGTTACTATGCACAAGGTTATTCCTTTTTCGTTGTTTAGTTATTTTCCACACAGATGCCACGTATTTGGACCGACTATCTCCTTTTCCTGATGTCGCAAGGTTTCATCACTCGCACCCGCCGCACTTTTGACCGGGCCCTCAAAGCCCTGCCAGTCACACAACATGACCGTATTTGGGGCATTTATCTACGGTTTGCGGACAAGCACGGCAGTGGGATAGGTGAGACGTGTTTGCGCATTTATCGCCGCTACGTCAAATTCGCCCCGGATGACATGGAGCGTTTTGTCGAATTCCTGGTTGGTATTGGAAACGCAAATGAGGCCGCCTTAGTTCTGGCTGATATCATCAACGATGACAACTTTGTCAGCCGTCAAGGCCGTTCGAAGTTCCAACTTTGGCAACAGTTATGCAGTTTGTTGGTGAAAAACCCGTCGAAGGTGGCTGCGCTTAAACCTGACCCAATCATTCGACAAGGGATAAGTAAATATACTGACCAGGTGAGTAAATGTAACAGTTTGATCACATTTTTCCTTGCCCATAGGTCGGTTTGTTGTGGAACTCCCTGGCTGACTACCACATTCGTTGCGGTAACCTTCTGCGCGCCAGGGACGTGTATGCGGAAGCCCTCAATACAGTGATGACCGTACGTGACTTCACCCAGGTATTTGACGCTTATGCCGAATTCGAAGAGTCAGTGGCTAAGGCGAAAATGGAAGCCTTGGATAAATCGCAAAATACTTCGGAAGAAGGTAAGTGACAGACTCGGCCTGGTGTTGTCCTGCTCCTCATTCGGACGCTACACTTGTTCATTATAATTAGCGCTCGTTAGCGGTAGTAAAATGCAATACATCGTGCTCATTGAACGAAAATGTACTGTTATAATTCGGTCGTTTCTACGCGTTCGCTATTGCCCCGTTGTTGTCGGCCATTTAACGACAGATCGGTAATTTTGATCGTTCTCATTATCACAATTCTTACGCTCATTTCGGACTAGAACCTGGCAGGTGTGCGGCAAACGGATGCCTCAACTGAACAGCAATCTCTTTCTAGGTTCGTTCGACCGCAATTGTCCTCTTCACTGTCATTTATCTCAGTTTCTGTTGTGTTATTGAACTTTCTCGTTTTTTTTAACCGAATTGGGTTTACTCTTCAGAGCATATCCCTTGTTTGCTTGATGTCTGTACATTATCATTCGCGATTTCTGCAAACGGTTTCTCTGGTACCATTGGGATTTCGTCGGTGGTACCCACCTTAGTCGATGCAGCAGGTGTTAATAGAGTGAATTCTTTTTGTTTCACAACTCGTCATCTTCCGCTATTCATAGCATTCTGAGAAAGATGCTGCCTCGTCAATTTTAAATCAATCACACGACCATGTGGTGAGGGAGCACTCGACCTGAAATGTGTATTTTGACTAGTCGCAATCGATAGTTAGCTTCTGCACCTCGGACACTTATCATACTTCTGTAATTTATTCAATGGATCCAGTTTTATTCTTTCGATTAATCATTCACTGTACCAGTTCTCCGTGCATTCCACTGAGCACCATTGCTTCATCATGATCATGATGATCACCATCATCGACAACAACACATACTGGGACCTGAATGCCACACAACCATGAGGGATGAAAGTCCTAGGAAAGAGCGGGAAGTAAGGGAAAGGTCAGGAATTCAGTTCGAACAAGCTTTAGATCTTCGAAAGACCTGATCGACAATGGCGTGTCTATACCTCTGAACAACATTATACCTATTTAAGCTCGATTTCGAAGTAAGACGCCATCAGCGGATTTTATCCAGCGTCTATTGCGAATCTCACTAAACCCAGCGCGCAACAACACATGAACACTAGTTAGGCAGCCCAGTAAGGAAGAAATAGCATGTGCACCACTGGGGGCGGCTTCGTACCATGTCCCGCAGTAGGATTAAGTGTGCCCCAACCAAGGAAGCGCCTAGATCGCCGGTTTGACAGTAGCCGTTTTCATTTCACATCTCTGTGTCATGACCTGTCACTAACAGTCGCTTAGAACGACGAAAAATGCTTCATTCGGTTAACGGTGTTCGGGCATGCGTACTACATTCCTCAACCACGTCAACCTGGTAGGGTTAAACTGCTGCTGTAACTATTCAGATCCGTCACCAGGTACCGGCTTACGTACCACCTAGTTGCGAATTCACTGCAGCCAGGTAACTTGCTGTGATACGAAGACAACGGCGATCAAGCAATTGATGGCGCCTAAGGCCCTCAGATTGAAAGAGGCAAGTTTCACAGCCGAACAGTATCAACGCTGTTACATTTACTCTTTAGCTTCAGCAAAATCCTTATCTGATGTTCACAGTTGCAGATAACACCAATTCATCCGCATCTTGCTGGAGCAATATACGAATATCTTCGACAGCCAACTGTTCGAGTTGGACACACGACGAGTGGCACACGACAAACTGTTTGATTTGAGAAGGTTTGCTGTTTTTGAGTTTGTCTTATTCTTCTCGCTAAAGAACCCGCTCACCGCGTCCACACTATTACCAATGATAACGATAATAGCAGTGGATAAATAACGGTAATACTGAACTTACGTATAGTCATGGGAGCATCCGTTTATTCCTATCGCCATTTGTTTCTACGATTGTTAACCAATAAAATGAAATAATCGCGTTCCAGCATGAACCGCATGGGTGGGAGAACTTTATTGAAATTTCGGTGGGTATGCTTCCCCTTCGTGTCTTCACCGTTTTTGCATTCCTCACCTTACATGACCGTGAAAAACCTATAATAATGGAAAATTTGAAAATTTCTTTTTTTCTTTCGCTTGTGCCTTCATCGTACTTTGTTGTTTAGACGAATTGGATGTGGAGCTACATCTCGCCCGACTAGAAGCTCTTATGGATAAACGCCCACTCCTTCTGAACAGCGTTCTGTTGCGTCAGAATCCTCACAATGTTTCCGATTGGTTGAAACGCGTTGAACTCGTAAAACCTCAAGGAGCGCGCGAGCAAATCAATACATTCATGGAAGCCATAACCTCGGTGGACCCGGGTACGTCTCGTACGCCGACTTTTTTATTGGTCGTATTATCTGCAACAATAGGTACATCTGGGAGGGGGGCGAGATGACCCAAGTGGTTAGAGCGCGAATCTACTGACCGGAAAGTTCGTGGTTCGAAACTGCCTCTCCACTTCCCCTGTCTAGACTTGGGCAACCTGACAGTATCCTAGCCCTCTTGCTTCCTTCGGGCGGCATGGTAGTTAGGCACGTGAAGTGTGCTACAGCTGGACGAAACACATCTGGCGGGTATGCCTTTGGTTATCGCTGTTTATTCCTTCCTATGCATTTCGGTTCGGAGAACGGTCACAGTCTTTTCTCCGCCTGACTTCCCAAGCCCAGTGAACTCAAATGTCTGTGATACACTGCTCTAACTTGACTGTAACAAAGACGAATAACTTTTCGACTTCTGCTCAGCCGTGGTTCGAAATTGTGTGCTATCTGTGTACCATCACTGGTTCCGTGATGCTGTTGTCGGTCACTCAAACAACATTTTGGAGCCTGCTTATTTGCCTGTTTTTGTCTCTCCTAGAAGTACCATCGTAGCTAGAGGACGATCGGGTCTGTCGGATGTTTCCAACATTGTCGGCAGTTGCGTGTCCAACTTAGTCTTCACCTGAACACACAATCTAGTTCTAATACCCTCCTGTATGCATTACTGAGTTGTCGGGTTTTAGGTTTTTCGTCGAAGCTTGAACTGACTGGTAGCCCTCAGGCTTCCTATGGCTACCAAGACAATTACATAGCGAAGGGATTTATCGGCTGTATTTTTCGAATAATCGATTTTCCGGGGATTGTTTGAGTCTGTTGGATAGTCGCCAATCAGTGAACTACCTTCGATCTGTCCGATCACTAACCGTTACCACCTTTCTTCCAGCGTCGCGTGTAAAATAACCAATGATACCGATAGGAAATACACTTTCTCATCGATCTTGAAGCTGATGCTCTTTTCAGAAACAGGTGCTTCAGCATAGGAGGACGCATGGCAAATCTCGTGCTTCTGGTTTTGTTAGGGGATTACACCCCCAACTGTTGGTTACATTGCCACTGTGAGGGCCCCTCTATCTTTGGTCACCACTTAACGCGGCTACACTTGTCAATCGGTCAGACGATAATACAGTCAAGATAGCTACTTGTGTAAAATAGATGGAGGTTGGTGAATCTGGTGAGTGTCAGCGCGCATAATGCGAGATAAACAATGTACGGACTTTAGAAGATTGTGGCGTAGAAGAGCTCCTGTCCCCAATTTCAGTGTTAGAGCCGAAATCCCGGTACTTATGCCATAGACATGACTCTTTGAACGATATAGACTGAAGGGTTTGACTGAAGCTTCCCTAATCACTCATGCTATTCTAAAACGGTTGACTTATTACAGCAAGTCATCTAGAATTAGTTTGACTATCAGATTTCGAACTCCGTAGGCACTCACCCTATTCCGTTTTTACATTTTTTTTTACAAATTCCAGGATTAAAACATACATGATACTTGCAGAAAACAACTATATAAGGCTCTCAAGTGAACCATTCCTTGGACATCTACCTCTATCACATCAACCTCAAAGTTAGGCAAGCTATGCCCAGACTCTGCAACCGTTCATTATTAACACTCCGATTCACACATCAGACTCCTTCCGGTCATTATTGATCAGTGTTTTTCCCCAGAGTAGTGAACTCTTGACTCGTGCGTTAAACTTGATGCTAAAACAATAGTTTCCATACTTTTCCTCCCATCTACAGCGAAGGCTACTGCTGGACGACCATCGGCGTTGTGGGTCGGTCTGGCCCAACTCTACGAGAAACATAAACAGCTGGATGATGCACGGGTCGTGTTTCAGAAAGCAACCGGCGTCACATTTGTTCATGTGGAAGACTTGGCATCGATCTGGTGCGAATGGGCAGAAATGGAACTTCGCAATGAGTAAGTGCTGATAACATTCGGGGGAGATCTCTTTTCATGCTCAACCATTAGACCCGTTAAATAGTGGATGGATAGCTTTTTTTAGGATTGCAACTATTTGACATCCGAACATCCAACAGTGTTGTAACCTCTGACCCATAAACCAAACAGTATCATAACTTGGTGTCGTGTGGGAAGGCAGTAATTCCATGAACTCATCAAGAGCGGTCCAAGAAAATTTTAGTCATCGGGTCTCTTTTACAATTTTACAAACCATAGTAGTAAATAGCTCATATCATCAGTTTTCATGGTAATTAGGAGAAACACAGTGAAGAATTGTGATCCTGTCTTGTAAGGCTTCCAGTGTACACATCATGAAGATCAGCATAGGTAAAATATGATTATAGGCGGGATCAGAGTCACTCTGTCGCGAGCGATGATAGCAGTGTCGAACTGGTTACGCCGAGTGTAATCGACAGCTTGAATCAGACGCTTCTGAATGCACAACGCAGGCCCGTTACTTGTAACAGCCACTGGTCCTGTGGTGGTCGCAGGACTCTTGGTAACTTCAGACCAAAACAGTGAATGCCATAGAAAGATCTACTGGTTGTCCTGCCTTACAACGGAAGTGCAAGATACCTGAGGAAGCAACTTTACCTTGTCGTTGTTTTATACCCTGTTATCTCACACTCCTTTTGTACCTTTCATCTTTTAGTCGTCCGGAGGAAGCCCTGCGACTTCTCGGCAAGGCAACAACAGCACCTCCACGCAAAGTTGATTACTATGATCGATCAGTACTTTGTCGTTATACCCTGTTATCTCACACTCCTTTTGTACCTTTCATCTTTTAGTCGTCCGGAGGAAGCCCTGCGACTTCTCGGCAAGGCAACAACAGCACCTCCACGCAAAGTTGATTACTATGATCGATCAGAACCTGTGCAAGCTCGGCTACACAAGTCTCTTCGAGTGTGGACCCTCTATACAGACCTCGAAGAGAGTTTCGGGACATTTGAAACCACCAAGGTGAGAACTACGCCTTCAGGTTTTCTTAACTGTGAAATGGTAAATGCAATTACTTCGTCCGCCGTGTTGAAGCTTGAATAGCACTCAAAGTAACAGAAGTCGTAGTTCAACGGTATGTTATGAGGGACCCTGTATATATCTGACGAGAATTATCGTCTACATCTTTGTACTGTCCAAAGCTTTACAAAACGGTCCATAAACTGTGCTCCTCGGCTATTCTAATCGGCTAGAGTTCCCACACTCTCTCATTTTCCGTTCACCGAAACTGACTCATGGTTTCTAGTTGGTAAAGTGAAGTGAGCTTCACTATTTTGACCGCATTGTGGCTATTCTGTTTGTCTTTCCGTTTTTCCCGCCCTAATTCTATTTTGCGCTTGGAGAGCATTTAATCACCCTACCTACGTAGGTTCCGTCTTCGGGCCTTTTCCTTCTGTCGGTCAGACCCACGCATTGTTCATCCACAACCATATCACTGACCTAATTTGGAAAGTTGCACAGCCCTATCCCAGCTATCTAAAAGCGCTCACATATTTTTATCCAGTCAGCTTTTCCAACCGATTTCGGTGCCCTGATTCGCGCACAGTGTGTGTTTGCTGCCCAGGTTTGCCAACAAATACGCTTCAAAGAAGTAGAACGGATTGTGCTTCATCGGTTCATCATCGATACTTTAGTTGTTGGCCTGTTTTTCTGCGAAATCACAACCCTCCTTTGATCGTAACAATCAATTAGTCAGTGGCTTTCTTATCTCCAAACGCATTTGGAGACGTCAGTGGCTACTGTCTGCGTTTTTTTTATCTCATTGTGTCCCCCGCTCATGGTCCCATATGAACAATGGGGCTATCATCATATCTCACTTGCACACGTATTCATGAGGGCTTCAAGGAACCGTTCGAATTGACCTTGTATATTCTTCTGCATAGGGTCGTCCAACAGCATGGCGTGCTCGACCATCTGTTGGCCACTTGTGTCGTTTTTTCTGTTTCGTGAAGGAATACAACTTATGTACCTGTTAACTTTTGCTATTCACTGACAACGAACTTCTTCATTAAAGGACATTCCTGCGTTCAGATACTATCGGATTCCAATTGTTCTGAGCGTTAAAATTCCTGCAATTTTTGCGAACACGGCTGAGCTGGGCGAGAGAAGTAATAGCAGTCCTACTGGACTTGTAAAAACCTCCGAAATATACGCTGGTGGACCCATCGTGTGAACAGGAAGCACGTTGTAAACCAACCGACTTTTTCTCCGGCTAGTTTTGTGACTCATCACATCTACGATGGGCCATAAATGTGTCCACTAATCAGGACTAATTTGTGATGTTTTATCTTCAATTTACTTTCGTTGGCGGAAACACACTTACTCGCTACTCAAGGCCTAAAATGAACGCTGTCGTGCTCAGTTTTTTTAAAGCTTCCTCAACCAGGCATCTGCAGCACAATGAAGCCAGCCGATGCTAATCGATTTATCAAGAATATGGAGAAGCATATATTGATGGGAGTCATGAGTTCCTTCACCTACATGGAAGATTTCTAGAAACGAAGCTAGGAACAACCTATGTTCAAATGAAAACTGATTGCTCTTGCGACACGGGATATTGCAGAGTTATGAAATCGCGAATCAGAAGTGTACTGGCCGCGTACACATTCACGCACTTCCAGACACGTGTACTCGCTAGCGTATAAAGAGGGCACATTCGTAAGCTCACACCGAAAACTCTGGGGTTTCTGATAGAGCTCTATATGAAAATAGTAAATCGTTCAGCTGTAGCACCCTTTCGGTGCCTAGCTGCCATGCCACCCGAAGGAAGCACGTGGGCTGGAATACTGTCAGGTTGCCCAAACGTAGACAGGGAAGGTCAAGATGCTGGGGTTGGTTTCGAACCACGGACCCTGCGGTCAGTAAATTCGCTCTCTAACCACTTGGGCCATCTCGTCTCAGCTCTATATAACTCAGTGGTTAAGTTATGAGGTCATTGACCGGATTGTCCGTGGTTCGAAACCAACCCCAGCATCTTGACTGCTCCTGTCTAGGCTTGGGCAACTAGGTAGTATTTTAGCTCTCAGGCCTCCTACGGGTCCCATGGCGGCTATGTACTGAAAAGGTGTTACAAATAAGCCATTAGTGTCATGATTTCTTATTCATCTCTACAGACCGAATCCAGTCTCAAACTGATGTACATCAAGAGTTGGCTTGTGAAATTCAGAAACTGTTATCGCGTCCGCAGTCAACACAAAGTACTAAGCAAAAAGGGGTGTCCATTGTCACTGGGAACAGTTGCGATCCTTTCAGCTCGATCTATTTCTTGGTATGTACATTGCGGACGCAAACCATCAGGTTTAGGCGACGAACACGAGTTCTCTGTTGGGGCTCATCAACCTTATGTTCTACTTGTGGGTTTCATCATATGCCTAAGTATTTACTTTCTCTTTGAAAGATACCACCAAGGGATGCAGTAGAGTTCCGGTTCTTTGTCACACCTGTTTCCACCTATGAGGCATATGCGTGGCCCGCATGATATTCAAATCTAATTACGATTAAATGACCCGACCGTCGAAATCCAAGTGTCTTTCTGTGGAAACAGACCCACTGGAAAAATGAGATGATATCTCAGTTATACTCTGGCGTGCCTCCCGTATTTGCTTTTCTTCAAGCAATCGTATGGCGTGAATTCTGCCTCACATTTGAGTTTGATTTGATGTTTGATACATGCAAAAACTTTTTCTAAATATATAATTTACCACTTATGTTGACGGTCGGTGGGAGTCTATGGAACAGATTCTATAATCATTCCTGACAGCCTCTCCGGTCATTTATTAGGCTGTCCTGATCTCACCGGTACACTTGCTCATTTCCTATTGGTCATCACCTTGATTATTCTGTGGTTTAACTTTCATACAGGCTGCCTATGATCATATGATTGACCTTCGAATCGCCACTCCACAAATTATCATGAACTACGCCTTGTTTTTGGAGGAACAAAACTATTTTGAGGAAGCCTTCAAGGTGAGTGTAACTGAAAGTGATTGTGTTTTGCACCAAAGCTATCACCTTCAATGCTTAGTTGCCCAATCTTCCGTTTCCCCGTCGTCTCTAGTGCTTGGCTAGGGTTCCCACACTCTTCCATTTTCGTTCACCGAAACTGTAGCAGCTGTACTCAACGTACTTCTGATTAATGCTCCCTTGTTGATAAAGTGAAGTGGCGCTGTTTGTACTCTCTAGAAGGTTGCTCACTTGCAGGGATGAGAGCTTCAGGATGCTTGCTATCTACCAATGTCCAGTTTCCCTCGATTGATGATTTCCTTAGCTAGACTTCTTCGACCTAGTGCTCGATTATCTCATGACTCCTGTCAAATGTATATAGTAGTAAACAGCTGGATATCTAGACAGCAATCGCCTCTTTTCAGTCTCCATTTTCGGTCAGCTTCGTTGTTTCTTTTTGCTGGAAAGAGCCACTCGTCTCTAGAAACAACTGCTTTCTCGAGATAATTCCGTGTACGACCTTACCGAGAGACCGTTGTGGTTCGCTGTTGCCGTAGAAGGGTTGTACTGCACTGGAGTGGAATTATTCTACGCAGAAGTCGTCGGTGTAAGATTATCCATCTAAGCAACTGAGGAGTGTTGGCGATTTTGGAGAGTATGGTTCTGGTAATTTTGCCACTTCTGTCTAATATTATAAGCTCAGGGTCCTGTCTTTTTTTCGAGTTATGGACTCGAACATTTCACTAACCTGGATATTTTCTATTGAAGCTTTGCGGTTCGTGTGTAGCGTTTTTAAGTTTCTAACTCATTTTGCTCGTTCAAAGACCATACATGATAAAAATATGTTGTTGTTGGGTTCAGGACATTTTCGATGGAGATATCATCCTGTAATTAAAATCATTTTATGATGAAAAGCTGAGAAGCACTGTGTGTCTGCTTCTACCTTATTGGGAATCGGCAGCCCCCCATGAAGCTCCAGGGATTTTCCAACTAGCGACCTCGCCTTATGTTCTGAACACAACCGATCCTGCGATTCCAACCTGTGCTCCACCCAGTGGCGTCACAGATGCTACCCAACTATAGTCATAACGACCTTTCTATCGACTTCGCCTAAACTGAACTGAACGATGCCCACTGTAAGATCCGGGCAGCTAATTGTCTCACAGGACAGTTGGTGCTATCTGACTACACGCAGTTCGTATCCACTGGGCACTTGATTATGTATTGAAAGCTTTCAAGAATTGGCTTTATAGACAAACGGGTTGATAAACATCGTGAATGAAGCAAAACGTACAATCAATTATGCTTCCCGTGCTTCGCCTTCGCACGCGTCGATCAAGAAGCTCAGACGATTAGTGGGATCCGTGAGTGACCTTCTGGTTAAGCCCCTGAGAAACGTCCAGTAATGTAAAGGGTTACCTTCAGACGTGGATACTCCTCTCTGGGGCGTGCCCATGCAGAGGTTAAGTAGCTTCGGGAGATGTTGATATGGTAGAGACGCCGAGTGTGAACTTTTCGAAGGCATTGCAGGATAGTTGAGGGTAACAGCCCCTTCCTGGTCCGCTGGATAAGAAGGTCTCACAGATTTTCGGGGTCTCCGGTCTGTGGCAAAAGCACAACCCTGAATTTTAGCCGTCTCTAAACAGACCTTGACCATCTCCATCTCCAGCATCTCAGTTGTGCCGTCTGATCAATTGGAAACTCTTGCTGGAGAGTCAGGGGGGAGTAATTAAGTGAAGGAAGGTCAGGAAAATTACCAGAAAGTTCGCTAGGCATGGCAGGAACGTCGTTCGCACTGTATGTTGGGCGTTGCGATGACGTTTTTGATTATTTTTTTGATTAATTTTCTCTCACTGCTTGTATGGATTCACGTTCCCAAGACAGCGAATGAAGTAATATCGATCGTACCGGATCTTATCGGACTGTAACATGACCCAAATCCTGGTCCCAAAACTCTTGGGTTGCTTGGGTGGAACAACACTGACTGAATCCGTGTCAGTAATTGTTGATAGCTTTCTGTGGAAGAGTTACACGGCCTACCCTCACAAATAGGTGAAATCAGGATGTTACGGGCTACAGTGCTTATCACTTCCGGGGTGCTATGGTTAGACTCGGGACTGCTGTTAAAGAGTCCGCTAAAACAATTCGCGCTTACTGTATGAAAAGTTGGTGTAAAGACTGGTGGAAATCGTTGTCGCCTGAAGTGGTTCGAACGATATCTTGACTGAACAAGCTGGTGAATTAATGGGATAAATCGTGGATAAAAATTTGGATACGCAGAATAGTCTGGGTTATCTGTGATGAGATCTTCAAACTGAACTCTTCCACAGAAACACTGAAGCTTGCAGCGCTTGGTTATGGATGGCTGACTTTTTTGAAGGCTCAATTGCTTATTTTCCTTGAACCGCAACAACAGCCGTCCCCTTCTGCGGGGAATGTTCTTCAGAAATTCCTTGAACCAGCTGTCCCCTTCTGCGGGGAATGTTCTTCAGAAGATGTAGCTTTCTGACCGGTTTTCCTTGAAGCACCACTCCGGAATAGATAGCCTTGGCCGATCCCGTCAAGTGGTATCCCCAGGTTACGGAACAGCGAACTCTTGTGTACTGTGTCACTATCTTTCATTAGTCAGCATGCACCCAGTATTTGTCCCCCTAAGGAATCTCCGAGTTACTACTGTTCCTGTCGTTAGTATTGTTATGATAGCGTTATTGCCCATATTTTGTTGAGGTTTTAATTTCTCTCTTTGAATATCATGTAAGGAATCTCCGAGCTATTACTACATTACTACGCTCACTACTCTTTCTGTCGTTAGTATTGTTACGATTGCATCATTACCCATATTTTGTTGAAGTTTTAAGTTCTCTCTTTGAATGTCATTTGATTGGTCTCCACTTTTTTTTCGTGAACCTCTCTTGTATTTCAGGCCTATGAAAAAGGAGTTGCATTGTTTCGTTGGCCTAACGTCTACGACATTTGGGCAGCATATTTGGCCAAGTTCATTGAGCGTTACGTAAGTTTTGCTTGCTTCCTACTTCCTTGGTCAGGGAGATGTTTTTCTGTGTGAAATAACGGTTAAATAATAGAATGTACTTGTGCACCTGTTAACCGCACTACAAGAATGCTTCAATTCCACATATTACCGCTCGTTTGGGGCGCATCAGACTTTTGGGTCAGCCTTCACTCAATCACTTGAATGTGCATCGTTCAGCTGTAGCACGTTTTCGGTACCTAGCTTCCATGCCACCCGAAGGAAGCACGAGGACTGGGCTGCCGCCAGGTTTCCCAAGCCTAGACAGGGTATGTCTAGATGCATGCATCCGGGTTCGAACGACGGACCTTCCGGTCAGTAAATTTGCGGTCTGGCCACTGGACTATCTCGCCCTCGAATGTGCGTTGTTCAAATCAGACCGAAAGATGTGTCACAATCACTTTACGTGCCACATTTACTGAAACATCATCCTTCGAGTTACGGGCATGCCAGAAGGGCCAAAGAGCAGCAACCAAACGAACAGTTGTCAAGTTCCATATTTCGAGTCATCGTATTATTAGGCGGTCTATGGGTGTCTTCATGCTGTCGCCTGCTAAAGCATTTGGGGGTAGTAGGATGGTCAGAGGAACATCACTCTCTTACTTAGAGAAGGGGCCTGGACATTTTCGCCTGAAAGCATGCGTTTGCAGGGTTCGGTGATCCGGTCGCTCCATGGATTGCCATGATCGACGGCAAATTCTGTTTTATGGTAGAAAGCCAAGAGCCTGGTGTTGCTCAACAGACACCTGCTGTTCGCAGCTTTTTGAGTTCGCCTTACGTTTCACAGGAGCTAAGAAAATCCACTCTACCAGGCTGATAAGACTTGAGTCATTGGACGTGTTTGTTTTTTTAAGGAGACGCTGACATCTGTTGTCTTGCGGATCTAGCCTTTGGGTCAGGGGCCGAAGGTTGGGTCGGGCTCCATCTGCGACACAAGTCGCTGGAAAGTATCCAAAATTGTCTTGTTTGACAAGCAAGGCGGAGGCTTTCATCTCATTGCTCTTCCATTATCTTCTATTCTTGCCCGTCGTGAGTTGTTTTCCTTGATTTCTGGGTAACGCACACTGCAGTGGTGCAGAAATACGCCATGTGCTGTCTTTACTTATCGAGCAATCTAAAAGACGTCATTATGTCATCTGGAGGCTACCCTATATGATTCGACCACAGTCATTAATGAATCATGTCACAGGTTTCTACAGATGGTGAGCCATTGTGAAAGACTGTCGGTCTTTGCTCAGAGGACATCAAGTCACAGTTATCACGAATTAATTCAGTGACCAATTCGCTTCACGCTACTCATCACGAGGACAATAGTAAGACTTGGAAAGAACTTTTCATGATAGTACACGCTGCACGCAAAAGGATTAAAAACAAAATTCTTCTCCGAAGAGAATGGAGTTTTTTGGATCAGTACATCTGACTCATCCGAGGAGAGACGTGGGAATCAGAAGCGTAAACTAAAAGTCAATCGACGAAGGGACCCTGCAGAACTTTTGCGCCAAATCAATAGAGAAAGTGAAGCCTTGGTGTTACATGGGAAGGAGATGTACTCTGATTCGCAATTTTTCCGACCCTGTTGACAGGTGGAACATTTCTAAGAACACTTCTGCTGGTTAGAATGAGTTATCTAGAAGCTGATGTGTTGCCCAGCTATCCACCGTTGGAATCAGATGTCGCGTTGGGTGTAAGCCCAGTCAGATGGAGCCAAACTCCGGGCCAATACTTCCTTCTCTCTTCTCTTTTCAAAGACAGGAGTGAAACTCTTATCTCTGCCCGGAGAAGCTTTTTACAGCATGAGTGATAAGCCGAAGAGGTAATAATACATCACTTTTATTGGTATTTTATCATCTGTGTACTTAAAGAAGGTTTGGGGATCGAGAAATACACTCATTTACAAATCAGTTTGGTTTTCACGGGAGACTCAATTGAATCTCTCGTTTATGATGTCCTCTAACTGAATGTGCTGCACACAGGCCGCCTCATGATTCAGTTGGCACGATATTCGAGATATCACTCAAGAAGGGCGAAACCGGTTGTGGGCTGTCGAAGAGTTTTCAACAACCTTGTGAAAAAGTTTGGGGATCTTTTGTGGTTCCGTTGCGTACGGTCCGCTTCAAGGTGTCAGTATAAACCAGCAAGCGCTTAACAGACAGGATTTCACTCTTGTTTGATGCGAAAGATACTAGAAATTAGGCAAGTTCGACAGCGGTGAACGATTTTCTTTTGGTTTGGTTTCTCTAAGCGCCCCGCTTAACTACTTGCTTTTCTGGGAAGTACCAAATAAGAACGCAAATATTTTGTGAGCACAGTGTTCTCACTCTGAGAATTGGTTTGAACCATACAGACAACTGTTCCAAATGTTACCAATATCAATTGATGTCCTGGAAGGGTTCCCGATCTCCCCTTCTGTTCGCACTTCGTGATTGGTGATACAATGGATAGGACTTTCAAAAGCTGAGAACCTATGAGATTATGCTTCTTTTAGATGGTGTGCTGTTTGCTAACCAACTGTGAGCACGCGGATTACGTCACTCCTCTCAGTTCCTTGTACTCTGTAGTATGAAAACTGTTAGAGAGCGTAGGTATTTATGTAATGGGCTGTGCACCGTCAGACTGCAGCCTCATTGTACGGGGCCGTGCGTGAGATTGTCGGTGAACTCATCTACTTACGAACTGTCGTGCCTTCCTTGAGGCAGATGAAGTAGCTTTGTGAAAAAAAGCAAAGCTTAAACTTGTTGGGAGCTTTTCGAAATGAAACATTGTTACTCAGTGACAAACCTGGTACCTGTCGAATTGTTCACTGAGCTTGGCACTTGTTATAAAATTATGCCCGCCCCCAGGAACCAACGAACGAAAATCCGCAGATGTGGACGCGCTCACATAAACCTGTGCGCCACATGAGTGCAGCTGTGGTACAAAGGCAGGGTGTAGCGATGGTCTAACGGGTCGACGCGTAGCTAACCCTCCACGATCACTGATCGTGTCACATGCTGTGAGACAAAAGTAATGATCAGTTGGAAAAAATGGTCACAAAGCCCATGCAGGAATAACGTATGAAGGTCTCAGAAGCGCGGTATGGCTGACTAATATTGCGGATTCAAAACGCCATGTTTCAACAAAAATAACACATGATTTTGTAATGTACTACTCATAAGGTTGCTGAAAATCCGTCGATAACCAGCGACCGGTTTCGCTCTTCTTGGGGCTCATCAGGTGGGCGCAGTCCCCGGGTTTCTGTCAACCTTATGTTCTACTTGAAACCAAATTGCACGAAATTAGCGAATATACACTCATTTGCAAAGTAATTTGGTTTTTTGAGAGACTCACCTGGAACGCATCTGAATCTCTCGTTTGTAATGTTTTGGGGCAACTGAAAACATCACAACTGAGCGATTCAGCTGGGTTTCAGGTGAGTCTCTCGAAAAACCAAATTAGCTCGTAAATGAGTGTATATTCGCTAACACATGATTTCTTTGTCTCGGTTGTATTTTCCCTCACGCCCCCACCATCTTTTCCTTCTTGATGATACCGTTATACCTACTCTTCACTTCAAGGGTGGAACCAAACTGGAACGCGCTCGTGATTTGTTCGAACAATGCTTGGAGAAATGTCCCCCCAAATTTGCCAAAGGTTAGTCATTCTTAGCGAACAACACTCAGTTGCATAGCAATTTAGTTTTGACCGGAGAACCACCTCGAACACAGCTGAATCTCTCGTTTATGATATTTTTTTTAATTTTCACCATTATCGTTATTGTTTCTATGTTATTGCTTTTAGTACGAATACTATTGCCATTGAATGAGATCTCTCAGTTGTAGCACCCTTTCGGTGCCTAACTGCCATGCCACCCGAAGGTTGCACGAAGGCTGGGATATTGCTAGGGTGCCCAAGCCTAGACAGGGGAAGTCGAGAGGCGGAGTTCGGGTTCGAACCACGGACCTTCCGGTCAGTAGATTCGCGCTCTAACCACCTGGGCCATCTCGCCATTGACTAGCCATGAATATATCCAAACTGCCTCTAGAAAATCTAACTAACCCTTTGGGGATACATCCATAGGTTCGCCACTGTGAGGGTCCCCTTCAACGGGTGCATCTTTGGGACCGACTAAAATAGATCTTTTGTCGGAAGTGTGCTCTCTCCTAAGCCCCGGACAATCATCACGATTATTCCCTTTTTTACACGGTTGTATTGGATCTTAACAATGGGAAGGTGTGGTCATCAATTTCATGTTTGCATTTTGTAAGCCTTGCTGGGAATTTCTTTTTGCGTGCTCGTTTTTCGAAACTATCAGGTCGGCATGTACGCCTTTGGGAAGTAACTGATGCAGCGAAGCACGATGAAATGGTGAACTTGGTGTTTCTGCACCAAGCAGTCTACTCGATTTGTCCAGCAGTCATCTCGCGCTAGCTGTTCGCATGTTAAGCGAGTAGTTTCAGCGCATGGGGGCGAGATGAACCAAGTGGTTAGAGTGCGAATTTACTGACCGGAAGGTCCGTGGTTCGAATCCGACCTCTGCCTCTCGACTTCCTCTGTCTCGGCTTGGGCCACTTGGCAGTATCCCCCCAGCCCTCGTGCAACCTTCGGGTGGCATGGCACCGAAATGGTGCTACAGCTGAACGATTTATTTCTTTCAACGCATGGTGTCGTATGTTTTGGTGTAATTTACAGCGCCTTCCGGTGCTGTGTGAGAATCTTTCAACCTAACTCACGGCATTACCAATCATTATATTAGGGCCTATCCCAAAAGCTATAAGACCGTTATGTTCCGTAGACTGAACCCAATGTTGTGGAACCGAAACGCAGCGGGCGAACCTATAGATAAAGCCGTACGAACAGAACAGTGAATTACTGCTAAGAACAGATCCTTTCTTTGGATCACTTTGTAACGAAGCACAATTGCAAGCAGGATTTGAGCAACATTGAATGTGCGTGGATCGTGAACAGGAACACATGGTAACCAGTCAAAAGGAGCTTGCAACACTCCAAGCTTGAAGCTTCTCGAAAAATAGGAAAGGTCGCATCATATTCGTACAATATGCACCCTGTCTTTACTGATTTAGAACCGACAGAATTGAAGGCGAGAGTGAAAGTGCGTTGAAGGTCGCCTTACTTGGGGACTCAAACACCCCGATTCATCAAATCTATCGATGACAATATACTGTCATACTGTGGACAGATACTTCGCCCCTATTTTTTTCAGGGTCATTCAGCGAATTTTGTATTTCTAGATGGACATTCACCCGTGAACAGTACGGAATGGCAGCCACCGTAGTCAGTAGAGCACTCAACATGCGCTGTAGACGATCCCACAAACCCCTGCCAGCTTGCACCGCAATAATGGCTTTCGTGGACGTTTGTGCCACAGAATCTCTGACCCAGCGGCGAACCTTTTTCCTCATGAATGAATGGACGGAACATCTTTCAAATTGGGTGAATAGGTCGTTCTCAGTCTGCAAGTGCCGCTCCAAATGAGCATATATCTGTTTAAACAAAGCAGCAATTTGGAACGGATGATTTTATTTGCCTTAGAGGTTGACAGCACTGTGTTGCATCAGTATATTGACCAATAGTTATTCTCGTCATTCGTCCTTTATCAGGGTCATCTCTTCACTCCACGCGTCCGAGTTGGTTGATTTGCGCGCAGCACATACAAGTGTTTGGTATCAAATTGGACCCTGAATTAGCCGACTAGGCTGTAGTTATTGGGGGACCTTGAAATGGTCTGCCATTCCCCATATGGCAACGTTTTCCTGAGAAACTTTAAAAACCTGTAAAATTCAAAACGGCCAAACATCGCTCAAGTTCGAATGCCATTGCCGGGTTAGACGTGTTGTCACAGGTGCGTCATGCTTGCACTGGTGAATCATTCGTTACACGCTCGTCTAACATCTGCGGTGTCCGGAGTTCAATCCCCGGCACAGCCCAGGATGTGCACTGTCAGTTTGATCTAATAAGAGCGAAACTCGAGTTCACTACTTCCCTCTCTGGTGTAGACTAAGCAGAATAACTGCGCCGGGATAGGTGGAGGACTGTTCAAACGGTGATAATAATGGCGCGAAAACCACTAAGCATCAGGGATCTCGAAAGTCACAATCAGTTGGTCAGCTGATCAGCTGCCGTGTACAGTCGCCTGTTATTATGTCAAGCTTTACTTGATTTGGATGCTTCCTTTTATTGTAGAGGGCTACTTCAACGGTTCATTTTCAATGCCTTTTGCACGGTTGTCCTCAGCTATATTACTGCGGGTCAGTAATTTACTTGTTGCCCAACCACCCTCAAACACTAATGTCCAATGAATGAATGTGTAAATGGTGGATGTCGCTTAACTCAACTTTCTAACTCCAGTCTGTATCACAGCTTCATGGTTCCTTCGAAACAACTAGCGCCTATCTATCAGGACAGGTCACGTTCAGTAGGAGAAAAGTCCGTTACTTTTGATGATGGGTGCGGCGAGAGCGTTAATGACTCTCTACGTTCAAAGTTAGTCCATGGGTATACAGCATTGCCGTTATGGTATCTAGTCTTTTTAGATAAACCAGCCATTTCCAGAGGCACAAATTATCCCAGCATGATTCAGGGCATTTTGTGCCCTTGGGTGGGATGGTTGGATAAGTTTTCGTGTTGAAGGGAGGTTTGTCACGGAGCAATGTGCGATGTCTCTAGCTGCATCAGTTTGGTCAGTGGAGGCTGTCGGAATTGGGAAAGTAGCTGTTCTACATTCGAGGCGTTGATCGTTTCAATGCACTGTCGACCGTGCTGGTAGGTTGACTCTTTGCTAAATATTTTTTACGATATACACGGAGAAGACTAGCCCGAATGATCGAGCTTCGTTTTCTAAGGTCTTCTAAGAAGTTTAACAGCTAAACTATCCCATCATCGGATGCACATTCTTGGTAGTGGACTGCTGAAACCACCATTATGAGGGTTTTCGCACTTCGTTGCAATCCAATTCAGATTTCCAGCTGGTTTATACTACTTGTCCTTCGGGGGGGGGGGGGGGCTGGAAAATGGCTGTCTGCAGTATCTTACGATTGCTGGACACGTTTATGTTGTTTAATGCTGTCATGGTTACAACAGTCTGAGCAATCGCCTTGATTCTCTAACAACCGCATTCCTGTTTTTTGTCTCCTTGAAGCACTCTATCTGCTTTACGCGCGACTGGAGGAGCAACATGGTTTGGCTCGTCGTGCGATTCGTATCTACGAACGAGCCACCGAGGCTGTGCTGCCCGGCGAACGCTTTGATGTAAGTGTTGCTCTGTTATCCTTTTGACATTATATTTCAGAGCTACATGTCCCACCATTTGATGGATGTTCCATGCATTCACACACCCATCTACTCATCTATAACCCAATGGCTCAATTCTATGATTCAAGTGACGTCATGACCTCGCCGTTGCCTACTGTCACTCTTGTCGTCCCCATTCTGAAGGTGAACTTACAAGGAATCTCTTTGGAAATTAATGTATCTCACAAGTCCAGTAGGCCTTTCTCTAATTGATCCACACTCAATTGACCAAGACAATTGATCTGTGCTGCATTGATTGATATCATATCCTATCTAATTGCAAGCCAGTCACATTCATAATCAGCTTCTCGTACCAAGAGAAGAACAATGTCCAACTACTAATCGGTTAGTCGCGGGTTCAAATCACCTTGGAGATACCTTTGGATCCACGCAGTTGGTGATTCCCAACAAAGATGAAACAGCTGTAAATAATGGCTTCTAGTCTTTTTCGTGGGATAAACGGACTCATTCGCAGAAATGTCATTTGATGCACCACTGGTCATTTTGTTCAGCTACTGACGACGTCCTTTGCTCTATCTTACGTTCAAATCCAAAGTACCTGGGACAGGATAGATAGCCATCTCATGAATGTGTCGTTCTGATTCTTTGGTCGCTTCCTTGTGGGGCGAGATGGCCCAAGTGGTTAGAGTGCGAATTTACTGACCGGAAGGTCTGTGGTTCGAACCCGACCTCTGGCACTCAACTCTCCCTGGCAGCATCTCAACCCTCGTGATTCCTCCAAGTGGCATGACAGCTAGGCACCGGTAGGGTGTCACAGCTGAACGAAAAATTCCTTCCTCCTTATGTTAACACTAGTAGTCCCCTAGCCGGGCGGATGTCCGTTGTCTCTTTGAAAACAGCCAAAGACGCAAGCACGAAGGCCTACATGTTTTGGGTTCAGCTCTCAATCCCAGCCAGCCGAAAATTTCTTCCTCCTTATGTTAACACTAGTGGTCCCCTAGCCGGGTGGATGTCCGTTGTCTCTTTGAAAACAGCCCAAGACGCAAGCACGAAAGCCTCCATGTTTTGGGTTCACCTCTCAATCTCAGCCGTCGTTTTCTGTGGGCTGAACAACCATTGCAGCTGAATATTGTGGAATCGCTTCTTTTTCGAACTACAATCCTACTGATGTTCAGCTACTTTCGTTCGAAATTGGACACCGTCTGCCTACCTTTTACTGAAACCTGGCGGCTTTCATTGTGTTGTAGCTATTTCGTCTTACCTGTCGATCATTGTTCGCTACACATCTCTTCAGTTCCAAAGCACTAGGCTACTCATCTTGTTTATTCTCCTACTTGCAAACTGTTTTCCAATAGATGTTTAACATCTACATTCAACGAATTGCTGACCTACATGGTGTTACACACACACGGTCAGCTTACGAACAAGCGATCGAACGACTCCCAGAGGAGCATGCCCGTCAAATGTGCCTTCGATTTGCTGATTTGGAACGAAAATTGGGCGAAATTGACCGAGCACGAGCCATTTACGCCTACTGCTCCCAAATGTGCGATCCGCGGGTACGTTCCTGATGGGTAACTCTTCCCATGGGTGTTTGAATAATGTTTTTCAGCTAGTCCCCTTCACACATTTTGGTGGATAGCAGTGTTGAGTTCTGATTGGCTTGTGTACTCGACTAATGAATTTCCAGGTCTTTGTCTTTGGTTGTTTCTATCTGGTAATGGATTTCGTGGAAGGGGTTCTAGACCATCCACAATCTTGCCTGGACATTTGTTTTTCGCTCATTTAATTGCGCCTACAAAAACCATTTGGGAAGTCACGGAATAATCCTTTTTTAAATCGGGTGTACTCGCTGTGTAAAATCGTCCCCCACCGATCTTCAGCTCCTGTGTATCTATGACAGCCGAAATAGTTCGTGCTGGACAGCTCTCGCCAGATATATTGTGCGGTGGAAGTGCAATGTTATGCTGAAACGTAAAGTAATTGCCGAATGCTCCTGGTAGTCTATTATCTAATGTGTCAACGGTGTTGTTTATGTTGTCTGGGATATGCACAGGCGTGCAGTGGCCTAATTGCTGCTGCACTCCGATTCTATCCCGTCATGTAGCGCAAATGCGTCACTCAGTGCGGTTTTCGGCTACATGTGTCAAAGTTTCCCACCATACGCAGTCACCGTCCTTCGGACCGCGTCCGGTGACCCCGCATGCCCCGACGGTGATAATTCGGTCACCACCGCCTTAATGTTTTTGTCTGTTAACTGCATTGCCGTCAACATCACTCAGTGAGTGAGGAGGCGGGTCTTGGAGGTCATTCTGAATACGTCTTATTACCAATAGAACCAGCATAGATTGAATCGATATTACATCCGCACGTTTCACCAAGTTCACAATATTCGTGCAATGGCGAACAACGGAAGGATTCCGTTGTGCGGTCAGGTGCTGTCATGCTATCGGAAAAAATTGATTCATTTTTTCGTGAACACCGAAAAACATCCCACCAGCGGTTTGCTAAACGAAACCCTTGCTTAAGCGCCTATTGCAAGTAGCCCCATTCCCGCGCGTCAGTTTCTTCAGCCAATGATTCTGTATCTATACAAGAGCCAATTTCCAAAGACTGGCTTCAAAAAACAGGTTTTAAGGGATTCAGTTAGCTGTGTTCGCGTATACCTTGCTCGTTGTGGACTGTTGAACGACTACATGCCAGTGCTCCATACCTGGTCTAGGTTTTTCCATCTCCAAGGAAACGGTGGAACATTGTTAACTATCTGGTTCGTCATATCTCTTCGCCAGCTGCTCGGCGGTCTCACATATGGTATCTTTTCTGTTACAGACAGAACCTCAGTTTTGGCAAGTCTGGAAAGAATTTGAGGTGGCCCACGGGAACGAGGATACCTTGCGTGAAATGTTGCGCATCCGACGTAGTGTGCAGGCCACTTACAACACCCGCGTCAGTTTTATGGCCAGTCAGCTTCAAATCACTGGTGCTGATGGAACGGAACAGGCTACTCGTGAGTTCCTTTTGGTGTTGGGTCAACTCAAAGGCTACCCAGTCGCTTTCCGCTGCTACATTGTGTATGAAAATTCCTTGAGGAATGTGTGAGCATGAGTAGTTATGTTAACTAAACGGAGACAACTCCAGGTCCACTCCCAAATTGTTGTAGTGGAACTTTGTTTCTTTCCGACATGCCTGCTGTCCTATACAGATTTTCTGGATTTGTTTATAGAGCCTTTCTCATATTTTTCTCGTCGTGAGGGACTGGGTCTCGATGTTTGGGAGTTTCCTTAAAACACGTGGGACCTCAGCGTCGCCATGAGTGGCAATTTTCCCCTATATGTCCTCCGTCTGATGACGTTTTCTATGACGGCTTGAGTAGTCAGTACCCACCATGTTTTATTTGCACTTTGGCAACACCGCGACACAGCCACGTCAGCTCTCTGCCATCTGGCTAAACCAGAAGCAGTGTTCACGGCAAGACAATCAGTTGACCTGTGTCACTACTGATCATTCTACCTGCTCTCCGGTTCGCACTTTTCTCACGGCTACTTTGAAGAGATAGGTGCCCACACGGTCGCTTCTCTGGGATGCTTGCAAGACATCTCAGTATGAGACTACTGTAGTCTTTTTTGATTACTTTATCAACTGAATAAGTTTCAAACACCTTTTTTTCATGCATCTGTGTAGTGGGCGCAACATGTGGTACATTCGAAGTTGCTAGATTAGGGATGCCCTGTTGTTATATCTGCTGATTCGCTAATCTGAGGTATCCGCTGCTGACCCGTTCCAGTGCCTAGTTGCCGGAAAAGACTCACAGAAGGGAAAATAACAGCTATATTCCGAACAAGCGAGTGCGAGTGCGTGCGCGTGCGAATGTACAACGGTCTCAAGCTATTTATTGGAGGAACACTGTCTGAACGCGGTCCAATGCTGACGCACACGGTCTGGCTTTGTTACGAGGCTGTGACGTGCTGCATATTGCGGGGGCGTTGTCTGACCTGATCAGTGCTGACTCTCGCTGCCTGGGTTTGCTACATGGCTGTGAGGCGCTGCATATTGAGGGGGCGTTGTCTGTCAACAGGGAAGCAAAACTCTAATTTGCATCTCAGTTACACAAACTGGACACCCATGTTCTCCCGAACGAGTCTTCTTGAACTTTACTGGAGATTCATTGACTCCACTCATTCATCGGTCAAATCCAAGCAGATGTTACAAAGTGGCTCCACGAATTCCTCAACAGATCTCCCTTTTTCGATAGACGCGAAGCGAAATTCTACGAACGACACATACTACTCGCGTGCCTCCCCATCAGTAGTACCACCGTTACATCTGTATATAGTGTGAATGCCGCATAAGCCCTTTGCATTTTGAACCTTTTTACCGATGCGCCACTCCAAACAAGAGGAAATAAGGAAGTTTGGCGATCAACCTGTACTGTATTTTGTCAAAACAGCAAACGGATGTAGAGTGTCGAATGCTCGCATTTCAAAGTCCATTCAACCGCCACGTCTTCTAAAGGAGTAAGAATTAGACGAATTAGGGCCGAATTCTAACCTTATATCAGACAACCGATTAAGTGTGATGCAAATCTTTTTGGCTGACTGGATCACTTTGGTCAGACTGCGAAGCGAACTGGTTTCCCGTCACTTACCAGAATGGTGAATGAGCTACTTAGGCGGGGTTTCTCAACTCTCCTAATAATGTGCCGGCTTGTCGATGGAGGCCCTCATGATATCTGTTTTGTTGACTGTCGCGGTCCATTGTTTGATTGATTTAGGAGGATGTTCCCCTGATGTAGTCAATGTTTTCTGTTTTTTTCATCGCGTCTCAGGTGGAGCGGTAAACGACAGTCCCACCAGTACGTTGTATTTGTTTGGTTCCCAATGCACAAATGATTAAATATGTGAGGTGGATTTCGCGGTTCCGTCGCTATCTGGAACTATCGGCGTTAATACGTTTCAGCATCACCAATTTCCAGACATTAGTATTCGGTCCTAATCATTGGCGGTTCTTAGTGGATTTTAAACTCCCTCTTCTAAGAGAAAAAATCAATGGCTCTGTTAGCTTCTTCTTAATTTGGAAATGAGTGTATTTCGCAAGTTGTTCATCATTTAGTGTCCACTTGACGAGCTGTAAGAAGAGTGAAACCGGTCTTGAGCTATCGAGGAGTTTTCAGAAACCGTTTTGAGTGGTATGCGCCACCAGGTTTCGCCTATCTATTTTTTGTTGAATTTCCAGTTGACTCTGTTGATAACTATGGGAACGTAAAATTCCTTCTAGATCATGTGTTCAGGAATTCCCAGTAGTTTTAATGTAACAACGACGGTTTAGTTGAGGGAGGGAGAGAGGAAGCTAAACATATCGTTTTCCGAATTTGTGGGGAATGTAGCTGTATGCCGCCGTCGGAGGTGCTGTCACCTTCGTGTGCCTCATTTCTACTTACATGTTGACGATCCAAAATATCTCATCCCTTTTATTCAGCTACGAACGAGATGCAGAAACTAGACAAGGCGCATTCCGATGCGAACAAGCCGCAGTTGGCCGGTCGTCCAGTTGTCGTCTTCCAATCGGCCGGAGTCCGACAGCTTGGCTTGGATGCCCAAGATCAGACACGTTCCGTAACCACGAACAAGGAGGCCATCAATATAGACGATATTGGCGCGGACGACGCAGATGATGGGGATGAGGAGGCGGCTCAAGATGATGCTGACTTGGGTGAGTGGCTTCCATTTGTTGTTGCTGTGGAAATTTGCCACTATGTATTATCCCCATCATCATCGACCGCATGACATCAATGTTCAACACCGATGCCTCGCTGCCGTACAAAATGGTACCACGCGACGGCCGATGTGGCATGAATTTATTTGTATATGTGCAGTTCATGGTTGTACGTGGCCTGGGATACTGACAGGGCGCCCACACATAGACAGGAGGACAATTAGGGTCCTCAGCCAAAACCTTTGACCCGCAGCGGTTTTGGCGGGAAGTGCAAATACATTACTACGGGACAAGTCGCCACATGTCCCAACCCCCAACCTAGAGGACCAGAAGACTGTGTTTGCCAGACCTCTAATCATCGACCAACTTGGTATGAGAGACTCCGTGGGGACACCCTCCAGTATAGCTTAATGGGTTGCTGAGGTGCGCAAACCGTCACAGTACAGTAAGGTCCATTCTCTTCGTGACGGATTGTCCCCATACCTTGTTGCCTCTTTCTTATGCAGCAACGATTCTTATCCATCTGGTGTAAAGAAACAGGCTACCTGTTGTCCTGTCTCGTCGTTAAATAAATCCTTGCTACCTTAATTATTCGCTTTATTTAAACCCGAATACCCCAGAGTCGGATTCTAGAAGACCACACAAATGTCTCATTGAGTCAGATCGGGTTCTGCAGTTATCATGTCAACCCGCTTAAATTTACGTTATTAAACCCGATAAAGGGGAGAAATCATTGGTTAGCTTTGCATCCTTAGGACACGGTCTCTTTGATCAAGACACCCAGTAAAATTACAAGCAAGTGAGACTAATACACCCCACGACCACCAGATCAATCGAACTCACCAATGGTAAGTGAACTTCTGGTGAAAATCAAGTTCCACACCCAACTGAGCAGAATTAGGTCGTGTTTGTTGGTGTTCCCACACTGCGAATTTCCACTTAGTACACAACCAAGACCGGTTGATACATGGCTCTGACGAGATCAAACGTCTGGATCTGTGAGTGTGATGCTGAACACATCATTACTCACTTGGATGTAGGTACTTTCGGCACTTTCCGGAATTCCTATGGCTCTCGTTTGGACTGTCCTCCTACCCCGGCGTAGTTGTTCCGATTCATCCACGCCAAAGAGGGGAAGTACTTGAACCGAGCGGTGTGGTTGGCTGGTGTCCAGTGTGTGTTCATCAAGTATCTTCCAGCACGCTCGTCTCGCTTGTCTGATGTCTGGAATTCAAATCCCGGCACATTCAAGGATGTGCACTGTTGATGAGCCCTCATAAGAGCGAAATTCAAGTCCCCTGTTTGGTGCAGACTAATCGAATGATTTGTGCCGAGACAGGACTGTTCAAGTAAAGTAAAGTAAGTAAATTAATCGCGTAACCGCACTTATAAAGTTGTTCAATATGTGCCTGCACAACTCTTTGAGCATGTTTCATGTGGAGGAGTTTCCTGAACGGGGGCAGAACAATCATTCATTCGTAGTAAATGAGAAGCAAATGAGATTTCGCGTATCCGAATTACAGCAACTTGACATTGAATGGCCAGTTAGCACGGACTTTGTGTGTCCCATACGTAGTACGGCGTGTACATATTGTTGTCAATATTTGTGCGCATACTGACTGTGTTTACTGTCCTTCTGTGTAGCTTACGCTATACGCGATTCGTTGTATTCACTTTCACACGGTTGTTTTTTACCCATCAGAACTGAACCTGGAGAAACAACCTGTGCCGCTTGCAGTATTCGGTGGCCTCAAAGAGGATGATGAGGACACGTGACACTTATTTTTATGCTTTGTACATTACAGTTGATTTATAGTTTGTGGTTTTTGCATTTTTTCATGTGGGTTGGTCGACTGTCCTCCGGTTTGACCGCGAAAGGGCATAGGTTCTGAGGGCAGTCTTTCAGGTTGCGCCTTGTCACTGTTATGGTCCGAGGAGACCACAACTGAGGAATATGAAAACACAATGTAGCTAGAGTCGGCTAGTAACAAGAATGAGACGCTACAATCGTGTTTACGGAGTACGTCCTAACGTTTCCCGATAGGTCACGTCGGGTATTTGAGCTCAATTCTAACTTACGATATTCGGGTTCGCCAGAAAAACCATCAAGTCGAAGTCGTCGGTTATTTCTTGTGGCTCACATGCGGATATCGGAGTCCCACAGTGGCTATTGTTGACTGTGGATAAATGTGGACCTACTTCCATGCCTTTCGTCAGCTAAAAAACGTTCAGTTGTAGCAACTTTTCGGTGCCTAACTACTATGCTACCTGAAAGAAGCATGAGGGCTGGGATACTACCAGATTGCCCAAGCCTAGACACGGGAAGTCAAGATGCAGGGATTAAGTTTGAACCACGGACCTTCCGGTCTATAAATTCCCGCCCTAGCCACCGAGCCATATCGCCCCTCCTATCAGCTAACCAGACCCTTCGCCTTAGTACATGTTTGACAATTCGCGTGTGAACTGGTATTCTTCGCGATGTCTGATGGTGTGAAGCGACCAAACTATCCGAGCCTTTTTTCCGGAATAACCTGTTGAGCGATTAGGAATGACTTCGTCTGCTTGAAGAAATTTTGGACAGAATGGTTGTGACTTCCCTAGGCTCTCCATTTTAAGTTTTGCAGCAAGTGAGCACAGTAGGCAAAGAATAGCATTCGATATCTTATCCTGATCCTGCATCTCGGAAGATCGCTATCAATTGGAAATAAGTTCGTTCAGTTAGGCTTAGCTTGTCCGAACCCCAAAGTCTACGAATTGTTGAATTCGATTAACAGCAACTGAAATCATTTAGGCTTAAACATCTCGTCCCGTCGTAAAAGACGTTCGTTGGGGAGATGTTGACGAAAGTGGCAACGCCAATTCTAAGGGATAAAGATTTCGATTGAGCTGTCTTCTGAACGTCAGCACAGTGGACGCAATTCCAATTCCCAGGAGCTGATGTGACAGCAGTCAAGGTGGCTACGTTCTTGGAGGGTGCCTACGTGTTTTGGTTCCAGTAGTTATGAGAATCCTCGGGTTCAGAATGTATGATGGCCTGTGAGTGGTCCAGTAAACTCAAAGACTTGTGGGTTGTTCGCCGTAGAACATGTCCTGACGTACAAACATCATTTCAGCGCTGTTTTAATTCGACAGTATTTCGAAGCCGTTTGGCTTTGAAAATTGATTCCATATTTGTTGAATCATTCTTTTAGTATTTGATGGGAATCCAACTTAACAATCAATCTGAAAGAAAAGCAGGCCAATTCCTCTTCTGCATCGGTTCCTGACGTTGGGGTTTCAGCAGGTCTGGTCTGATTTCTTCAAACCAGAATTTTTTTGATTTCAGTTCCCTGAGTCATATACTGTTGAAAAGCATGTCAAAATGCTAGAGGGGAATGCGGTTGCAACAGCATTCAACAAAGCCCCCGCACTCTTCAGAGAACGCTTGCCCGGTAAATTCATTCCCTGAGTCATATACTGTTCAAAAGCATGTCAAAATGCTAGAGGGGAATGCGGTTGCAACAGCATTCAACAAAGCCCCCGCACTCTTCAGAGAACGCTTGCCCGGTAAATTCACAACGATCTTCTTGAGCTCTGTAGGTACCCCGTTACAATCGTGTTGCTCAAGTGCCTGCAAGAGACGCTCTTACACTGAGCGTTTGCGTCTGCGTTTTAGTAAAACCGGGGAATAAACAGCGGAAGACCCGAGAGTGATCCCATTCAGACGCTTGACTACTCACACTAGAGTGGGTATAATTTATTCCATCAGGCGCACCTTCCCGCTAATTTCTAGCTCCGTACTTTCTCGATGTGTCTCAACGAAAGCATTTCAGGTGCACGGCCATTGCCCAATAGTGGGTGGATATTACCGTCCGAACGCCTTAGAACAAGGTTCGAACTAAGGCTCTGAGGGAATATACACTCATCTGCTAATTTCGTGCAATTGGGTTCCAAGTAGAGCATAAGGTTGACGGAAACCCGGGGACTGCGCCTACCTGATGAGCCCCAAGAAGGGCGAAACCGGTCGTGGGCTGTCGATGGATTTTCAGCAACCTTATGAGTAGTACGTTACAAATATAAGGCTCTAAGGGCTTTGAAGTCTGATAGGGCCTTCCAAATAATGATGAATTTCGTGGTCCGCTTTGAGTGACAAAACTGCTGTTTTCGTCTACCATCATTGAACTTCAGTTAATCCGGTGACTTAAGGTTGCCCGTAATAAATTCAGGTGCCCGCTGGCCGGGAGTTCAGCAAAGAAGTGTCAGGTCTCCGTCTGAACTGGTCACAAAAGTTCGGTAAATCCTCATTGCCTATGCCTTCGAAGCCAGTTGCAGGCTAGCAGCAATTGCCAGAAGGAATGGAAGAATGGATCAGTCTACAATCGCCAGTCCTTCCTGGCACTACCGGAGCAGCCGCCCTCCTTCAGTCCATCATCCCTAAATTTTGACCGTACTCACCTGCATAATCTTTGTCGCTGCAGGAATGAGCCCCACAAAACCAATAATGCAACAAAGAATCGTGTGTGTGGTGATATATCGCTTATTCTAACCCATGCCAGTCTGCTGGCCAGTTTCGGTCGGACGGATATTTAAATTTAAGAATTTAAGAATTGCAATTCTCGTGTGATTGGACCGCATACCAGAGGGTCCCCTTTGAACATCCTTTCAGTTGCGATTGTGCTTACTTTTCATTTAGAGTCTACTAATTTGATGAGTCCATTTTTCTTATTTTACTCAGAACTCTTCAGTTTCATTTGACATCACTCAACCATCATGAGTACTTGCAAATCGCTCTCGGTTGTCAGATTCACTCAAACTTCATCGCTGCATCTCAGCGTTTCAAAATTCCGGTGTCATTCTAAATATCGGAGTATATAACTTCCAACTCTTTGGGTCTGGCCTACCCAAATGAAACCTATTTCTTGATTTAGGGGCATGGCGAACTACCATGTTCTTCTATGTTGCCACAACTTCCAAACGATTTATTGTCGTATCATCAACATTCCAACCCAAAAGGGATATTTAAATTTAAGAATTTAAGAATTGCAATTCTCGTGTGATTGGACCGCATACCAGAGGGTCCCCTTTGAACATCCTTTCAGTTGCGACTGTGCTTACTTTTCAGTTAGAGTCTACTAATTTGATGAGTCCACTTTTCTTATTTTACTCAGAACTCTTCAGTTTCATTTGGCATCACTCAACCATAATGAGTACTTGCAAATCGCTCACGGTTGTCAGATTCACTCAAACTTAATCGCTGCATCTCAGCGTTTCAAAATTCCGGTGTCATTCTAACTCTTTGGGTCTGGCCTACCCAAATGAAACCTATTTCTCGATTTATGGACATGGCGAACTACCATGTTCTTCTATGTTGCCACAACTTCCAAACGATTTATTGTCGTATCATCAACATTCCAACCCAAAAGTTAGCGTAATTCTCGCATGCTGCACAAAAACCTGCCTCGCCAGAATGCATAAACTCATCTGACGTCGTTAAACTCTGAAAACGATCGTCTGATGTGGAACTGGGGAACAAAACTCCATCTCGGCTACTCCGTTACGTGCGTTTCCCTGCTGATAGGAGCCACATAACTGATGCCATGTTATAAAAGATCTTTATAAGTGAGTACCGTCCCGATACAATAGCATTTCTGGTGAGTCACTGGGTTCCCCACCAAATACACTTACAGAAACACTTGACGAATTTCACGAGTGTTTTTCTACTCGCCGGATAGGCCACTTCATCGAAACTGGCCACCTGGTCACAGAGCACAGTCAAGTGGATTCCTAAGAATGACATGTTGCAGTTGAGGGCACATCTTATTCTAATTCCTGGGAGATTATCTGATCCGTTAAATTCCTTGCCACAGGGGCGTATTATATCCTGGTGTCTGGCCAGTCACCATTCTGAGCACTTTACCACTACAGTCGTTTTGATGGCGCAGCCAGCAAATTTACCTTGTCCTGTAGTCCCCTGTGTTCAACGCAAATCTGCTGTGTGAAACAGATTGCACAGTAGGCATTTGTGAAGAGTGTCAGCAAATTTTGTCCTGTAGTCCCCCTGTGTTCAACGCAAATCTGCTGTGTGAAACAGACTGCACAGTAAGCATTTGTGAAGAGTGTTGCTGGCCGTCTCCCACATATTAAATTCACTTTTCTGGGTTTTCCCATTTATAGCGGCTCCGATGACCGAGGTACAACATCTACTTCTAGTAGGCTTTAAGCAAATTCTCTAGAATCACCTGACAACAAAGTAGGGCATACGTGCAAATAATCGAAGGATTCCGCCATGATCTACGTCGCCAATTTTCTTGGATTATCGTCCTCGTTTAAGTGGAGAATCCATTGTTTTCTGTCAGTCTGGTATTAGCGGGCGGAAACCTTTAGACGGTTTAGCCACGCTAGTCGTACACAAACGAGCTACTTCAGTTCATCCGACTAATCCTGAATTTATTCTAACGGTTTGCACCTTCTTCTTAGCTTCTAGCTATTAAAAAACATCAACGAGGCATATAACTTAGGAATAACACTGTTCGTCGGGTTATTGATAAAGGTCTGCCCTTGTTGGCGAGACCGAGGGGCTCCCAATTGAGAAACTTAAGATCACCAAACAAGAGCTGCAGTGTGTGTTGCGCTAGAAGCCATCCGATTGTCCTTCAGCTCTTTGTCATCTCTTCCCGAAATTGTCACACATGAAACAACTAAGGGATTTTCTGAAACATGATGCTGTCGCAGTTGCTGACTAATAACTCATTCCAAAGCTGCATGATTCCTCTTCAGATACATCTATCCAAACGGACTTTCCATAAACTGGCTTAGTTCAATCGTACCACCCCATCCTTATATATGAAGCCGGTGTTCCCTAAACTATTTGGCCTGCATAAATTTCTTCTCATGTCCTTCCGTCGGAACAATACCGTCCTAACTACCAAACGACTCATCGAAAAGGAGCTACATGGTCTAGGATTTTCTCGCCTCCACGGACTGGTGAAATCATGGATGCCAACGAGGGGGTGGCAGATCACTCGTTGCACCGGAATTATGTCTAATCCTTTTTAGATGTATTTTATGTCCAACTGACATTGAGTACATTGGACATCGTGTCGGCGTGTCTGGAATCGTGCCTCGGAATGAAAAAATTAACGCCTTGTCAGAATACCCTGTTTTACAACCTATTGAAGGCCTCCGCCGTTTTACAGGATCACGGCCATCAGCGATATCTCACTCCAGACTGTACAAACTTTCTTCCTCCTTCAAATTATCTCCTCAAACGGACTCGGACTATTCCGGTTTTCTTTCGAGGCTCCAAATACGTTTGAGACTGTCAAACGAGATGTATTCCACATAGCTGTCATATACCGCGCAGTTCTTGACCCTTCATATTAGTTAATTATGAAGACAGATACCTATTGGCTCGCAGTCATTGGTGTCACAAGCAACTTACTCAAAAAATAGCTTAAGTCCCTTGTTTCGTACGGCTTGCGTTCCTCACAAAATCATTAAGCTACTTTCGGTCGATAACTCTCAAACGGTTTAAGATGTCTGCAAGTCACTCGGAGATGTGAAAGTTCCCTTATTGCCGCGAGAAAGACTCCTTCCCGCGCTGTCGATCTTTGGCCGCTTTTGTTCATTTGGAGAAGTCCATACTCCCACTAGCGCTTGTTTCTCCTATTCTAAGCTTACTATTTCACAACTCAGTTTTGGAGCTAACATGGCGGACGACGAAGCCATTCAGGGCTGCACCAACTGTTGCGTCACCCGCTTCTCAGATTCCGTCTCTTCCTCCTTAGCGCTACACATCAGCCGGGAGCACAGAACTATTTGCAGCGAGTACAAAAGCCTCTAATTTTCCATAACAGCATCATCTACATGCTCGCATGTTTCATCTGCTTCAATCAAAAGCAGGCCGCTGTAACCAGAGGCGTTCTGCTCAAACCTCTTGCGGTTTCAAGGATGTCCTTCTCTGTTGTCACGCCCACCATAATCGTATCCAGTGGCCCAAAGCTTATTCCTACCTGATTTCGAAATTTCAGCTCGTATTGATTGCAGCGAAAGTGAAAAGATCGCTTACCCCCTCCCCCAAGTTCGAGTGATTTTCCAGTGGTTCCATTCACTACCGAGGGCGTCAGTTATAGCTATCTCAACCTTTCCATCGTTCTACTGCCAGGGAAGAAATGGGATGTACTTTCACGTAGTTGATTTAAATTGTCCGAGATGTTCCTTGATTTTCGTGTCACAGGTGAATTCGGACCTAAAAAACAAGCTTGTTGACCAAAACAGCATATGCGCCGCATTATCGGTCCCTCTTCTGTCGGTATCTCCGAAAGCACTTTGCTTTCCAACATTAAATTTTTGGTGTTGACCTTTCCTTTACCACCAATCCCGGCAGTTTCCAAAGCGGAACACCAGAAGTAGATCGAAATTTACTCAGCCAGATTCTGTTTTTGGATGTGAAAATATTTACAGAATTATTCTAGTCCAACTGCGCAAACTTTCAGGTTCACCGGACCCCACCGCTGCGCATATGAATAGCACTTGCCGATAAAGCAAAACTCGAGACTCCACAATGTCCCTGGAATACTCCCCATGAATGACTGACGAAAGTGCCATATTAGTTAACGTCAAGAATTTTTCACAGAAATGTCGGCCAATGATTATGCTGAGTGTTTCTTCCGCTACAGTACAGCAAGAACTTGTGAATTATGCGTGGCCCCAGACTGTAGATTGGACGGATATAGGTCTGTTTTGAAGTAACCAGTAATGACTATTTCCAACAAGCTTTTGAAACACGTTAAGTTGCGCGCAAAACTAGAGAAGTCAAATCGTTCAAATAAATGCTCATTAACCGACGCAGTATCATGAGTATAATGGCAAAATAAAAAATTCGTGCAAAACTCAAATCGAGGGATCACACTGGCTTATATACACCAATTTAGAAAGCGCAAACTCCAAATTGGGGCCCGTAGAAATGAGCAGGTTCGAACAGTCGCGCTCAAAGTTCTGTCACAAACTTCACTCAAATTTCATTCAGCCAGTGGTTGATGGAGGCCGATTCATGCGCAACCTATGGTTAAGCAAATGATTCGAGTCACGTGACCCATACTACGATATACGACTACTCCATACGAGCCCTGGCTGCTTGCCAAAGCTTTGCGCCAATGGCCGCTCTTGGCCCGATGTTCAAGTGGGATAAGCTTCTGCAAAGGTACCTGCTGGTTTGCGATTAAACTCTGGGCGGCGTTCCCCGACTTCTTTCCGACATTTCTCGTCAGTACGTTTCTTCTAAGAGCACTACAGCCTTTGTAGACAGCCATGTACAGCATAAATACGGTTAACTGGGTTGAAAGGAACTTAATATTCCGAGCGAAGGATTTTGAATATGTATACATATCCTAGATTATAGTTACGTTTGAACTGAGATTTTCGAGAACACGAATGCCAAGTTCCTGCCAAGCTTTTATTGAATTAAGTGATGTGGGAAGACAGGAGCAGGTTGTGTGAAGAGAGGCAGATCGATGGAGGGAATCTAAAGGTACGTCAAATTATACATATTTCATGCGGGCATGCGGAGGTTTCCTGGAATAAATTTAAATGGTTTCACGCTATTTTCTTGCTTGCATTGACAGTCCATCTATGCTTATTTTATTTGCCTTAACCATCTTACTCGCTTTTCTTGGCTTGTGCACAGGTAGCCAATCAGAATGCTGGCTTGTGGATGAGCCGCATGCTACACAGGATTGCGAACTCCATTCAGTTTATTTGAGCTAGGCGCGCGTTGGCAAGGTCAAGATGCCGATAGCGTAAAGATTAAAAGAAGAATGTCGCTTAAGACGCGAAACGGAAACAAATAAACGGGAAATCATGCTTTGTAAAACAAAGTTAGAGGAAAAGAATCAATACCTAGCAACCTACTGGCGAATGTCCCGTCATTAATTTTGTTGATGTTACCTTCGAATGGCACTTGCTCCTAACCCGCCTGAATTTCTTAAGCTAAGTGAGCACTTGCTAATAACTCTATGTAACTAGCTGGCAAAAGAGGGGATTTATCGAACGTTTTCAGGCCATGGCGCATTGTGGTAACTCCAGATCGTCCTGTACAGACTCAAGCAAAATAGGGCATGTCCGTTGTCAGTGGGTTTTGTTCATTAGGTACGTTTAACCTTTATGGTGTTCGCCAGTTTTGGCCTGAATCTGGTATGTAAAACCGTTCTTCACATGCGGATCCGATTTCCCTTTCGGCTTTAATGGTCCCACTCATAGAATATTCACAAGTTCTTCGAGCACCCCTGCACCATGCTGCCTTAAATCGTAATCAACGTTGGAAATCACTGAGGTCCCACGGGCTGCAGTATTGCTCTTTTCACTTTTATGTACATGCAACTGCGGTCCCCACGACTTCGTTAAGTAATGCATGTTTTCCGGGTGCAGATTGTGACGAGGTAACCGAATCATCGTGACGGTTCAACAAGAGGGTCTTCTGACCATATAACAGTAGTCAGAAACTTGAGAACCATCAATATGCATCATAAAGTGCGCACATGCAGATTCTTCTGTGTGGTGGCATCAAAAAGCACAGAAAAACCAAAACCATGACGATGACATTCCTCCCGTATTCAATAAACTGGGCAGCGGGTGTCTGGTGCTCGAAAACCTCAAAGTGCTTCCTTCGGTGCTACACATCATGACCCGTGAATACATCTACACTTTTCTGTTTTATTCGTCCTTGGAGCATTTCTTCCAGAAGTTACCCCCATAGCTAAAAGAACCCGCGTAGCTGGTGGTGGTACAGAGGATGCGGAACCAGACTTCTCTGCACTTTCACATTTCCTATGAACTAACTGTGCATTTGTTGCCCATCTTTTTGTTTTGGTCGTGGTCCACCTTGGTGGCTTGATTACTGATACAAATAAGCTCATACAGTACCTGGAAGACAAACAAAAGTTTGTGCTCCTCCAGTAACTTATCAATATTTATGCAGAGGTCGAATATTGAAATAGACCATGTAAGTTTAATATTTCATGGGTTTCGAAGCGCATGCAATTAAGGTGCTTTAAAATGGAACTTATCTTCGGTAACCTGGAACACGCTAGAAAGAAATATTTTATATTACAAAAACGCGAGTTCCACCGTTTATCTCATGCAGATGAATACAAGTCAAATAATCCTACAGAGGATCATTATTTGCACCTTTTGCGCCACATTTCGAATGTGACGCCGCTGCACAGACTGTTGATGGCTTAGCATGGATTTATGCACAGCTTGAAAAATAAATAACTACGCAGGTAATTACAAAAACCGCAGTGCAGACAGATATTCTACGATGTTCCAATGGGTCACGCAACCTACCTACACTCAAAAAATTGCAATTCTCCACCGGCATTGCGCTGACCACCGTCGTCATATGGTTTCTCCCCGAGCCAAGAACCTTGGTTTAAAGCCATTATTGTTTTCATGAACCGCCACCTAAAGCAAAGAAGTCCACAGTCAACCTTACCCATACGCCACGCACTTAGTGTCCTGAGGGCAGACAGGTCACTTCATTTACAGCAGTAATGAGAATATTAATTCAAAGCATGCAAATGCTGAGAAATCCTGTCTCTATCCACTGTTGCTTCAAATTACTTTTACAACCCATTGTTTACCCACATGTGTGCATCTTCGAACCGTGTGTACTTCAGTGGTAAAGCACACGTCGTTGATCCCATTTCCGCTTTCCTTCATTAATCCACAACTTAACTTTCCATCTTCATCGTAGCTAATAGTATGCAGCTTTTAAAGCTAAATGAGTGCAGGTTGTTTCTTCTCGCCATTCTGATGTGTGAACTGCTATGTTTGCAGAGCTTGTGTGGAAATCCAAGTGCGTGAACTTGGCTCAACGCACCTTCAACCTCCGTGGGCTGCAGATTGTTAACCTTTGGCTGAATCACCAACTGCTGCCATGGGGTGTCTGTGTTATCTAACAAAAATGACACATTTTCTCCAGCCTGAGCTCTTTGAATGTGTACCTCCATTCATTGCGCCTGCTGTCGATCAGTCATCACTTTGGACAATAACGCACCGATAATTGAAAATTTCGCTCTTCACCTCAAAATGCTCCACATCACTGAAGTGATTGGATAATCTGAGTCACTGAATTACTCGGACCTCATGCCTATTGTTCCCTACAAGTTGCAAAAGAAACATTATTATTTAATCGAGTACCTTTCACTGTTTGTGACATCGTCCCCTTTTTGCGCAGTCACCACTACCTGCAAATCCCTCAGTCATGCCCCATTCTGACCGTAAACGCATGATCATGCCAGACGGCATGCCACTCACAAGTTGGGGATAGACATTATCATTATCATTGTCACCATCAATACATATGTAGGTCATCTCAGCTCAGCAGAAGTAGGTCGTTGTACGCTACACAGCGTGTGTTTCAAGCCTAATGAGTAGCACGAAAGATTTCCGTGGCTTTGTGCTGCCACTATTCGTTTCTAAGTGGTAATTTTCGATGAGTTTAGGTATGTTGATTGTATTGGCTCCTCCCTATCTCTGAACACCTTGTTATGCGAAAAGCATACCAAAGACAACTGCAATCCAAATTTGTTCCAGACAGTTAAATGAAAATGGACTCCACGATGGATCCAATGGTATGACAGCAGCGTTGGAAAAACCTAGTGTCTGCTTCATGCTTTCTGTATATGTACATACGTATTTCACGTATACTGTGAAGTATTTGCAACAGTACGCGTTTATCCGTATAACAACTTCGTTGTGCATCCCATGTTTGCGTTCAGCGCCCGGATGAAGCTAGTTAAAATGTGTCGAGGTCACGTTCAAATTTGTTTGCTGTGACAATACCGTTCCTGGTGTCCCTGTTTCAACATAGATGCCTAAAAATTAATTCTTTTACAGCTTATGGTATGCTTGTAGGAAGATGCGAGCGTTTTGATGAGCACACAGACCCGCAACATACACGGAAGCATATTAGGTCCTAGCTTTATCCAACCTGTCCATTTGGGGCAGTTTCGTATGGAAAGGACCATGTCTCCTGTCAGTTTTTCCGCTAAATCGTATTTAATCGAGTAAACAACCATCTGGACCACGAGGTCGGAAATCTTGCGGAGTACTTGTAGAATAGACCGAAGGTCTGCCAGCAGGACGCAAAATATTGGAAGTCACAAAAATTACAAGTCACGCCCACTGTCGACAATGAAATTTTGGCGCACGCATGATTGCACTGCTCACCATTTGATGTCTGTACCTTTTTAATGCCCGTGAAACCCTTTCACGCTTGAATTCACTGTTTTCTGCGTCCACCTTTTTTATTTGAAATTCGCACACGATCCGTTGTAAACTTTTGACCCCTAACCTGTCCCACCTATTGTGAGGAAATTTTCACATGCGCTTTTTGACGACTTGCGTTACCGTGTGCTGTGCGGACACGTTTTACGGTAATTTACATCGCGCTGCCGTTCTTGTTCGGCCTTCTTTGGACTTGCACAAATTTGTGTGACAGAACGACGAAAATTCTCAATATTTGGAGTTTGTGTCACTTTCATATACGCGTTTTGTAGCGTAGTACTTTATTTTGTAGATACATCTCGTGACTTCCTGATTTTCGGCTCGCGATTTCGCGCGCCACTAAATTGAGCTTCCCATGATACGTCGCGTTTGCTTTTCGGGTTCAGGGGATTAGCAGCTCTGTGTAGAAAACGACTGTCTATTTCTAAATTCCTAACGTTCTACATCACTGGAATTGCTTCTTTTTACCAGACGGACTTTGCCATGGAAATAGCCAAGTTTCCCGGGTTGGTGGCATCATTATTCGGCCTTCGTTGTACTACACACTAACAGTCATGCATGTCGCAATAAAGAATTTGTCGCTGCATCCCATATTTATCAAAATAATTACTTGGCGACACTTAAAAACGCACCAGTGTATAATTTAGATCGAATCACAGCAACATGGCAAACTGCCAAAAAATATTCATGTGACCCCAGAATTTTGTCCGGCATGCACGCACCCGAGCATGAGGAAGAATGAAACAATGGCATTTTACGGCGCTGGAAGCTCAGTTGCATCTCAGTTACCCTTCCATACGTAAATAGGCTGAGACAATGTTTCCACCCTGTGCATTATCACCAGATAGTGCAAGTTTGTCACCAAAACAAGCAGAAGTGATTATTAGCTTGCCTGAAAGGCACTGACACTACGGTAAAAATAGGTGGAGCGTCGCGCCCCACGACGTGTTTCACAAACAACCGATTTGAGGCCAGGCAAATATTTTCATATCGGTTTGTTGGACACGCTGAATGGAGATTACGTCATTCCTGCGTGTCGATCGGGCAGATTAGCTGGCATATTCCAAAGTCGGTCCCACGTCGGCTCCATAGGTAACTGGAAATCCATGCAGTTATAATGGGGAAGGTGCGCCAACTCTTTCAAGGAAGAGTGTGGGCCTTTTCCACCGATCTTTCATGTTTGCCTGTACGGTTGCCGCTGATTTGCAGCGCCTACAACCATTTGGAGGGCATTAACGCCCTAGCTTCAAATTTCAAGTAGTCCAAAAAGCATATGCGGAATTGAACGCAGAACTTGATGAGGTATGATGTACATCAGAGCGAGGAATGGTCCAAAACTGAGCCTCAATGAACTCCAATGGAGACCGGTGCCGAAAAAGGGTGGGTAGAGCCAGTTTTTACTCAAAATATTTTAAAAGGAACGCCCTAACTTACTGTCGTATGGTCGTTCGAATCCCATAAATTTTGTGCTCGTGCAGCAACAGGTCGCGCGGGTGTTGTTCGATTCGAGAATTCGGAAAGCGTAACACCATATGATTCATTCATCCTTCGATTGTGTAAAGCTGTCCATAAATATGGGCATGCTCGTCACGCTGAGAACGATGGGAGGTGAATCGTCGCTGCTGTGAGGATATTAGAACGATCTTTACCACCTTAGACAGTATGTTAGTGAGGCTCGTAAATCTGTAATTGCGTAAATATAAGCGGTCAGCGGTTTTGTAGGTTAATGTAATATTAATTTCAATGCAGACGGAGGGAAGGTGGACTTCGTTTGGCAGCTGATGGAGCGCCAGGTAGGAATGTTGTGCTAATATGCGCCTTCAATTTACTAGAATGGACATCCTCTGGCCCCGGTGCACTAAACTTGTTTGCTTTGTACATCGTCTCTTAAAAAGACAAAATAACTTAGAGGCCATTTGTGTTTCGTAATGCGAATAATATACGTGAGAAAATTACTGATGCAGGATACAGGCCTGCAAAGTATTCTCTATAGGCTTCAGGTGAAACTTGTGCCGCACTCGTGGGTCCTCTGTTTTTTCCCCACAAGGGGTGGAGTCTGACATTTTTTCGGTACGCTTCACTTATGTAAATAATATTTTATTTCTGTTCGCGCAATGCTTGACATTGCGACCCGGTTTTATATCTTCCATTAGCGGATTATTGATGCACAGCGGTTCCGTACGAAATGCCACCCAATCGTTTAGGGTTCTTGCAATATCCTTTTGAAAGAATAGTTGGTATATCGTCCTCAGATTAACCAAATAATTTTTATAGCTTCTGGTTTGCTTGAATGCATCAGCTTCGTGAGTAATTTCATTAATGGTCCTGCATTTTTCCTGCACTGAAGCTGTTCAAAGTTTAAGTCGGTAAAGTACGTTACGCCCTTTTGAGAGGTCTGAACGACAGGAGTTTCAATCCACGTTTGATTTTCCGTCTCATTGGCCCAGTGGCAGATGAAACTAAACATTACCACTCGGTGATCACCATGTTCCAGTGAGGCTTCTGATGACGCTTGATCAGCGAAATGTCTCTCGTTGGTGATGACCAAATGCAGCGTAGATTGTATTTGGCCTGCACGGTATCCAATGGGCGGCGATATGTTGAGACTCAGTGGTGTGTTGAACGAATTCTGTCAGCGCCAATTTGATTCTCCTCGCATTGGCCCAGTGGCAGATAAAACTAAACATTACCACTCGGTGATCACCATGTTCCAGTGAGGCTTCTGATGACGCTTGATCAGCGAAATGTCTCTCGTTGGTGATGACCAAATGCAGCGTAGATTGTATTTGGCCTGCACGGTATCCAATGGGCGGCGATATGTTGAGACTCAGTGGTGTGTTGAACGAATTCTGTCAGCGCCAATGCAAAATATGCACTTGGTGCACTGATTTTCCATCCAGGAAGACATTTGACGGTAAAACCACCCACCAGGAAGGGATGTGTGAAGTGGGACCTGGAGGAGATTTGCTTAGGAGTATAAATAGGAAACTGGTTATCTCCCGTTTAGCTCAAGGGATACGCTCAGGACAGAATGGGTCCCATGCAGCGGGAGTTTACAGTGCACTACATCACAAGAAGACGAAGGAATGACGTCAGATAGGACAATTAAATGGGTAGGGCCGCATGTAATAATAATATTACCAGTGAGGATCTAAAAATGAAGTGGCTGTGAACCAAGATCTTCACGTTAGAAATGCCCAGTTTTAGAAAAGAAAATCTATCTTCTCTCTCGAGATTCCTCTCTAGACTGTTCAAAGCTAGCTGACTGCTGAAGTCGTGAAGCCGTGGAGTTTGTTGAAGAGACATGAAAAGACGTCTTTCCGAGTCCTTCAAGATGATATCTTAAGAGTTATATCTATGTTTAGAGGGTTTTTTTCAAAAGGTTCTCCGAGCAGATCCGTTTTATCGGCTTTCAATCATTCTGTCGGCTGGTGGGGCACAGCGCCTTGATATAACGGCATCCAAGGAGAATCTTGTGTTATCTTCAGACAGTTTCAAGTCTTCGGCCAGCCAGCCGCAAGTTCAGGGAATTCTTCAGCTCTAGAACGAAATTATGTTGACTCCACAAACTCGATTCTTACGGGATTCAAGGGAAAATCCCTCGCCAAATCAAGGCGTTCCTATAAGACGGATCATTCCGAGTGAAAATAGGCTTGACCTACTCTTCTCCAGCGCCGATCTCCATTGGAGTTCCTCAAGACTCCATCCCGGGACAAGTGCAATTTCGGATCTACGTCAACGACCTCCCAGATGTTCTTGCAAATCCATGTCTACTTTTTGCGGACGACTTGAAATCCTGGAGTTCCAATACCATTGCCCCCAAAACGGATGTAGACGCTTCCAAGCAGTTGTCGCTGGACTGGCACCTTCCTCTGAATGAAGATAAGTGCGTCCATATGTCGTTTGGAGGAGACTCAACGGATGGCTCTGTTATAGATGGTGAGAAAGGACCAGAAGACATCATGAAGATAGATGCCAAAAAGAATTTGGGCATCTGGGTCTCCTCAAACTTTTCCTTCTCACTGCCGCATGAGAAATCGGCCCAAAATGCATTCGCCATTTTACGGATGATCCGATGCACTTTCTCACGTATTACTCGCATGGACTTCCAAATACTCTATGGGGCCTACGTCAGACCGCTCCTGGAGTACGCCAACCACGTTGTTTACTCAGGACGCACGAAAGACCTCACCCTCATTGAGCGTGTCCGGCGGGCCGCTACAAGAATGGTTGCCGGCCTCAAATCCGTGGACTACGAAACGCGTCTCGCGATTCTTGATCTCTTTTCCCTGGAGTACCGTCGCCTCCGATGGGACCTAATTCTTACTTACGCCATCTTTGAACAAAGCTTGGCAAACAGGTTTTTTACCGTTGACCCAGCAAACACCCGGCGAGGACATAGTAAGAAAATTTTCAAGCTCAGGGCACACACATTCATTAGACAAAACTTTTTTTCATTTCGGGTAGTAGCTGCGTGGAATGACCTTCCTCCGACGGTTGTACACGCTCCTTCTCGAACCCAATTTAAAGCACTATTAGACATTTATTTATGCGAATCCTCGCGCTGGCGAGCATACTGCCCCGCGCTGAGAACATAAAGAGCAGTGCTACACCCTTTTTTCACTTGTGCCTTTCAGGTGAACGACAGCCACTGACCGACAAGAACAAAAGCGACCCGGGAATCCTGGATAATAGCCTCGACCCTGTGTATCAATCCGTGAATCGGTGTATAGGAACTACCGACCAATAACATCGCTCAGTAAATCTCCAGTTCGACTCCTAATTATTCTGCATAATCCATGGTGATCGTCCGCCACCTCTGCTAAACTGAATATCTCCAACGCTGCCGTCAGCCACTATGAAGTGATGCGCCCCAAGGGATATGTGAAAAAGCGGTCAAATACTGAACAGTTTCACTGAATGTGTTTAATCCAACTAAAACCTCGCTTCGCTGACCCTCGGAGCGCGCGCGCGCGAACTGGTGGTGCTTTCATCGTCCTCAATATGCCGCGAATAAACATAAAGGGTGGAGTTTGGCGGAACACAGAGGTATATTCTGTTGGTTTCATGGTTTACTCTCTAGGATGAAATCCTCAAAGCAGCTGTTATGAAATATGGGAAAAACCAGTGGGCCCGAATCGCTTCACTTCTTCATCGGAAAGCTGCAAAGCAGTGCAAGGCGAGATGGTATGAATGGCTTGATCCTAGTGTCAAAAAAACTGAATGGAGTCGCGAGGAGGACGAAAAGTTGCTTCATCTCGCAAAATTAATGCCTACCCAGTGGCGTACGATTGCACCGATTGTCGGAAGAACAGCTAACCAGTGCTTAGAGCGTTACGAATATCTCCTGTAAGTATAGACAAGTCTTAATGTGATTCGCTTGCAGAGATAAAGCCCAGAATAGAGAAGGATTATCTGCAGAAGAAGATCCCAAGCGGCTGCGTCCTGGTGAAATTGATCCAAATCCAGAAACAAAGCCAGCCAGGCCTGATCCTATCGATATGGACGAAGACGAGTTGGAAATGTTATCGGAAGCTCGGGCCAGGCTTGCTAACACACAGGTGAGGTCAAGTGGTGCGCATTTCCTATTTATGCTGCCTTCTGGGATCCTCGGGATGTATTTTTGGTTGGGTGGGGCTATTGTGGACATGCTGCATCTCGAAATTGTTCAATTTTGATATCCTTTTCGGTGCTTAGCTGCCATGCCACCAGATGGAAGCGAAAAGGCTAAGATACCGGTGAGTCGCCGTAACCGTTTGACAGCGGTGGGCAGTAAGTTCGCGCTTTAACCACCGAACTTTATCGAGCTTAGCTACATTGTCCTATGGTCATCCATTTTTGGACAATTCCCGCTCAAATTTTTACACTGCTTGTGTTCAGCGGCGTCAGTTCCAACCGCAGCGACAGGCCCTCTAGGCTGGCACCTCTTTGAAACACCCGAACATCGCCGACAACCTACAGAGTTTTATGAAAACAGCAAGCCCCCCAGCAGTGTATCCCTTCGTTACACGAACTGAAGTGATTTATTGAAGCCTTGACTTGCCATGCCGCTCCCTGTACTTCCCCAGATTAACCTTATCAAACAGTGAAAACTAAATATCGGGGCGCGTGTGACGAAGCGCGTTGTACTCACCAACTTAATCCAAATTATGTGGGCTGCTTCTCAGGATTGATCGGACTCTCATCTCGCGGAATTACTGGTTTGATTAGGAAGACCGGGGAAGTTGCAGTTGCGAACAGCGCAGACTAATATACTTTGGATCAGACATGACGGCAGCGTATAAACCAGCTGCAAAAAGCATTAGGCCAATAATGTGATTCGTGGGGACTGCAACAGAAAACAACTGACCTCTGGATCACCGCACGGCTAAATTAACAAACAGTAAGCCAACACTAGTGGCCAACTTGGATCCAAAGGCGAACACAAACATCCGAAGAGCAATGTGCACAATCGCGTTTTAGGGCACGACATAACACCGGTTGTGTGTAGACATTGGAATGGGGGTGGAGCAATATCATGAGAAGGTAATACAAGTCCATAGTCTTACTCGTCCGCTCTGCTACTCAGTGTGAGGCGATTTCCGCTACACCCATTTTCATCACATGGTATCGGATCCATATTCAAAACAATCGTCTATTTGACCACAAGGTAGGTGACGGAGTTTGATCAAGGGGGCGAGATGGCCGAAGTGGTTAGTGCGCGAGTTTACTAACCTGAAGGTCCGTGGTTCGAATCCGACCTCCGCCACTCGACTTCCCCTTTCTGGGCTTGGGCAACCTGGCAGTATCCCAGCTCTCGTGCTCCCTTCGGGTGGCATGGCAGCTAGGCACCGGAAGGGTGCTACAGCTGAACGCTTTCTTTTCTTTTCTTTCTTCTTGATCAAGTTTTCACTGGCAGTAGCTTTAGGGTACTAAAAACTGCTACTCCATCTTACTATCTTCGATGCCTCAGTCTTTGCCTCAGAACAACAACCGCTTCGTGCGCGCATGGGGTCTTATTCATTTAGGATAGCTCTTGGCTCGGTGACTTTGTCTCCCACAAGCCAAGGTCTGATGATAATCTAATCGGTAATTACGTGTGTGTTCCGCCCAACCCGTAATATACTTTGGATCAGACATGACGGCAGCGTATAAACCAGCTGCAAAAAGCATTAAGCCAATATGATTCGTGGGGACTGCAACAGAAACCAACTGACCTCTGGATCACCGCACAGCTAAGTTAACAAACAGTAAGCCAACACTAGCGGCCAACTTGGATCCAAAGACGAACACAAACATCCGAAAAGCAATGTGCACAATCGCGTTTTAGGGCACGACATAACACCGGTTGTGTGTAGACATTGGAATGGGGGTGGAGCAATATCATGAGAAGGTAATACAAGTCCATAGTCTTACTCGTCCGCTCTGCTACTCAGTGTGAGGCGATTTCCGCTACACCCATTTTCATCACATGGTATCGGATCCATATTCAAAACAATCGTCTATTTGACCACAAGGTAGGTGACGGAGTTTGATCAAGGGGGCGAGATGGCCGAAGTGGTTAGTGCGCGAGTTTACTAACCTGAAGGTCCGTGGTTCGAATCCGACCTCCGCCACTCGACTTCCCCTTTCTGGGCTTGGGCAACCTGGCAGTATCCCAGCTCTCGTGCTCCCTTCGGGTGGCATGGCAGCTAGGCACCGGAAGGGTGCTACAGCTGAACGCTTTCTTTTCTTTTCTTTCTTCTTGATCAAGTTTTCACTGGCAGTAGCTTTAGGGTACTAAAAACTGCTACTCCATCTTACTATCTTCGATGCCTCAGTCTTTGCCTCAGAACAACAACCGCTTCGTGCGCGCATGGGGTCTTATTCATTTAGGATAGCTCTTGGCTCGGTGACTTTGTCTCCCACAAGCCAAAATCTGATGATAATCTAATCGGCAATTACGTGTGTGTTTCACCCAACCCGCCACTCATTCACATTAAATCATCACGAAATCTTTTATGGATGTCATTAGAAGACTGGACGTTACCGCGGCGTAGCGATGTATGCGCCTGTACAGGGTTGTGTCCGTGTGACACTCCCAGGATCTCATTCCATGCTGGGCAATGGGTAGAGGTGTGACTACCAAAGCCTTCTGGTCTTCCAAGTTGGGGGTCGAAACACGTGGCTTGTTGCTGGAAAATGTGCGTCGCTCTGACGGCCTTATACCAACCACCGCTGTCTTGCGGCTAGGCTTTTGAGATATCTGCTTCGGTTGGGGAATCTACTGGTCTTCCCGTCTAGGTCTGGGTGCCCCGACAGTATTCCAGCCCACGTACAACCTTGAACTACGCACTTAAAAATAGTCTCATGCCACATCGGCCGTCCATGGTGCCATCAAATTGGCCGACTTGCCGGATAAGAGGAACCACTCTACTGCTGACCCCTTCTCCACTCATTCTTCCTCAACTTCGTTGCCAATGATGTCTTCGTGGGTTCATTCCTTGAAACTGACAGATCCGTTCGCTGAGCAATGTAGCCAGCTAAAGCATCTGCTGTTGAGTTATTCGCCGCGGCCAGACACTTCCAAGCGTTAAAACGCCGACGCCCAGTTCATCCGGAAGTGTTTAACGTTCTCATTCTGAAACAAGCCGAAGAACACGGTGTTCTAGTATGCACGTTGTGCTAGCTGTTTACTACTTTGTGCCGTGCACCTGAAGCAAGGATTCAAAATCCAAGTAAGTTTATCCAGCTGACCTCTGTCGGTTTCCACTTGGACGTGGTTTTGCACCTTTGGTGATCGAAAAGCTGTTGCGGCTGGTTCTTTGGTTGACATTGATCTAAACCACCAAGCTGGAGGGTCTCTGATTAATTGCTTGTCCGGTGATGGTCGTTTCTATTCGGTTTATTTGGTAGCGTCTTTGGAAGTATCTTATAGACGCCGCTGACAACCGGTCTTTTTATTGTATTTGTTTACGCTTCAGCATACCGTGACTCTACACAGTTCACGACCCTCTGAGCGCATTTCGCTACGGTAGGCTGTGAGCTCAGATATTGTGGTTACTGGGGGTATGAATGCGCTTGTAGGTGGGCTTAGCGCTGATAAGCCTCAGTTGGGTAGTCGGGACGCACCGGGAACGACAAGTGCCTACTACAGTTATGTGCTGACCACAAACGGTTTCTGTGCAGTACTAATTTCCGAAACAACCAGAGCCGCTTGATTGCAAGGTGCCCGCCCTCATGTGAACCAACTCGTAACGCAAATGGACCGCATCACCATTAGCTATAAGCTAAAACACAATACCGATCGGCAAACTGTCAGGCATATGGTGAAAAAGCTGAGCAGATGGATGAGACGAGAATCTCGAGAAATGTATACAAACTTTTCCAGCTGTTAGCTTCAACAGGTCCAAAGAGAGTTCCAGTGAACAAAGCAGTAACTGATGAGAACAGATCGCCTATCTCCTGAATGATTGGTTTGGACAATTCTAACAGCATTTCAGTTGGCCTCCTGCAGTTCCTCGGCCGGATTGCAGTCCCGCAATACAACCGTGAGAAGTAAATTTGGAATCATCAGTGCTCATGCGTCACCGAGCTGCTTGTCCTGACAGACTTCCACCCTCTTTTCTCAAAGATGAAGATGAAATCATCAATTTATGCCTTTTTAACCCTTTTGCCTCTATCTTTTTGAAAGAGACCATCCCGACTAACTGGGACGAGTCGATAGTGATACCCATTTTCAAAAAGGGTGAATTCAAAATTAAATATGGCAGTCAATGAGGGGCGGGATGGCTCAGGGGTTGGAGCGCGAATCTACTGACCGGATGGTCTGTAGTCCGAAACTGGCCCTGTCTCTCGACTTCTCTCTAGGTTTGGGCATCCTGGTAGTATCACAGGCCTCGTACTTCCTTCGGGTAGCATGTTACCGAAAGGGTGTTACCGTTGAACAATTTTTTATGCAGTAGGGTTATCCCCGAGCGTTTGTCTGCTCGGATGGAGACTTCGAATGGTAATGGCGACTAAAGGATGTCTTTGATGTTCATGCTGTTAGCCTCTATCCAGACTGACTCTGTTTAAGGTGTAGGTGTCTTGAATGTCGTGGTAGTCCATCCTTAGGTCCTTTTACTCTATTTTCTGATTTTTTTCGCTGGAAGGCTTCATTCAGATGAATTGGCATGAGTGTATAGCAAGGAATCACCGGTGTCGCTGTCAGTGACGATGGAGTCTTTACCCTCCACCTTTCTTTCCGGTTTCCACGAAGGTTCTTCCCTCGTGGTTGTATTTTCGTTAAGCACCGTATTGCTGTCTTTGATGTCAGTGATGACCGCACTTATCAAATCTGGCCGCCTGGTAGGTGGCACTGGCACCCGGCTATTACTACATGTCTTCAATGTTTTCCCATGATGACTTGTTTTGGCGGGTAGAACCTTCGGAAACTCCACTAGCTATGCTGGAAACTTGTTACAAGATTCCCACTCCTCGACACATGTTTTCGCGCTATCTTCCGGCTTTTTGGTTTGTGCATATGATAGAGGTCCAGTTCAACCTTTAAAGTTCGCCAGATTGTACTTCGAATCACAGATAGTGTGTTGCGTGTTGGGGTGAAGGTTAATTTTCCGTGCTTAGATTGCTTCACTTGCAAGACACAATCACTACTCAATCCTGGTGCGGCGACGCGAGAACATAGTAAACGAACGATCTAACTGGATTTCAGGCGAGTCTTCGGTCAAAACCAAGTTTGTATGCAAATAAGTGTTTCGCTAATTTCGTGCTATTTAGATAAAAGGTAATAGAATAATCATTCAGCTGTAACACCCTTTCGGTGCCTAGCTGCCGTGCCACCCAAAGGGAGCACTAGGGCTGGAATACTGTCAGGTTGCCCAAGCTTAGACAGGAGAAGTCGAGAGGCGGAGGTCGACGGTCAGTAGATCCGCGTTCCAATCCCTGAGCTATCCCTTCCCTCCTCAATGACTGTCATATTTAATTTTGAATTCACCCTTTTGAAAATGGGTATCACTATAGACTCATCCCGGTTAGTTGAGTGAAACCGGTCGTGGGTGGTCGGAGAGCTTTCAATAACCTTATGAATAGTGCATTAGTCCCCATCTTTCTTGTTTATTACCCATTTTATCAGCCGGTTACAGCATGTCTGTCACATCCATGTAACTGGGTTGGATCCCTGTAAGCTCGTCTTCGCATTGTACGGTTGTCTGGATCAATTGAAATCGATGCAAGTCGATGGCTTAGACGGTGTGTCATGCTAGCCTGCGTGCCGATGGACTGCAGTTCTGAATGTGATGCGGACTTCTGCTTCGGTCCGCAACAACGTATATAGTCATCCTGGCAGGTGATATGAATGCTAAATTCTCGTATAAATGAATGCAACTGAGCTCGGAAGAAGCATGGTTGGGAAGTAGTTTCAGATTCCTTGTCAGCGCAACTTGTAGAGCAACTCCTTCAGTTGTGTGCTGATCATGGTCTGTTCCTGGCCAGTACGAGTTTTCAGCAGAGTGGTTCACTTAAAGTCCACAAACCACAAGCCATGTTAATGTGCACTTCACTTCTGCAAAGTGTAGAAGACTGGATGGGGTCAAACCGAAACCTAATGTTGCGGACGGGCCATCCGAAGTGTTAGGTGAATTCGTTCACCTGGAGACTTGTATAAGTTCCGGTGGAGTGGCCTTGGATTGGCTTTACTCCCTGAATTCGGACGGCCAGAATAGCTTACACCAACCTCCGACACCTATGGCGCTGGTTTGATGTCAGTTTGTCTACTGCAGCAGGGCGATCCATAAATGTGGGTTCTACGCTCCGAGGAAATACAAAGCCGTGTTTGATCACCGGTGTTTGAAATATTGACCGGCCCTGATGTGATCGATCGTTCAGTTGTAACAAACTTTCGGGGCCTAGCTACTACGGCATCCGACGTAAGCACGAGGACTGTCAACCTTACACATAAAGTTGAGATTCGGAGGTTGGTTTCGAACCGCGCACCCTGCGATCAGTATGTTTGCACCCTAACCATTGAGCTATCTCGACCTCGGGTGTGATGAGCACACGGAATTATCAATGCTGAGGTACCTCAGGTGGTTTTAGGGAAAAGGAACTTTCCCGCCACATATGGGTTATTAATGCTAGGACATGCATTTCATCCACCATGTGATCGTCTGCCTCTTGTCCAGCTGTGCTCTACATCAGCCGGGTCACCTTGCCGCATAAAGCAGTGCGGATAAGCGAAAACAGGCTACTGTGGACGTCTCTCTTCTTTCTCTTTCACATGTTTTCCTCCCCCTCTCTTCACCCCAATAATAATTCTCCCCTTGTAGGCCCAGCACTTAGGATTGATGACTCCGTTCGTCATGCATCGCTTTTGCATGCAACATCTGCTCCTAATATGGCACCGACATCCTCAGGTATCTTAAAATCAGTCTTCAAGCCTCGACGCTCAGTCTCTCTAGCCGCTTTCAGTGTCCGCACTCTGAAGCAAGCAGGACAACAGGCCGCTCTTGTTCTCACATTGAGCTTGCCTGGCATTGATGTGTGCTGTGTCTGAGAAACGAGAATTCAAGATGCAAATAGTGATTGGGCTAACTGCCCCATCAGTCTCCACTCGCTTCCGGCTGCTGTGACGAGATGTGCAGAGGTTGGTATCGTCCGGAGTCAGCGGGCGGAAGTGTCCTTGCTTGACTGGATCTGTTGATAATCGCCTCTGTGCGGTTCGTCTGAAAACGTCTGTAAAAGAGTCTTATAGGCGGGAAGTTGATAGATGTCGTGTCTGCTTACGCCTCAACTGACTGTAGCTCCGACGCCCTCAAATACAGGTTTTACGATACCCTGAAAGCCCTGTTGTGGTGAGCTAAAAGCTCAGATATCGTGGTGGTTGTCGGAGAACGCGCAAGTAGACGGGCTTAGTGTATCTGAGACTCATTTAAGAGGTCGACATGGATTGGACTCGGTACGTGCGGACAATGGTGAACGATTGCTTCAGCTGTGTGCTGTTTTAATGCAGTACTAACTTCCGAAATAGCCGAATTCGTCTGGCCACATGGTGTCCTCCAACGGCATGCCGGTCACAAAATCAAATAGAACTAATTGCCATCGGTTACCAATGGTGCGGATCAATAACTGACTCAGCTGCATAGTTGCTCAGTCTCCCTTTTATTCAACAGTGTAGAATACGACCTAATTGATGATATCATCGGCTCCGACGGTTAGCTATATCTGATCCGCTAACACATTTTGCGATGACCGGAACTGTAACAAGACGGACCCTTATACTCATGTACCCTTGGTACATGGCTGAGCATAGCCGCTAGTTGAGTTTTATAACTTATATTTAACGTTGCATTAGCAAGTGTTGGTTTCAACTGCATGTGGATAAGGTTCGTCTTTAAGCGTTAGTTTTCGCCGCATAGCTTAGGGAACTGATCCAGGGACTGAAACGCCGACTGATTCCGACTGGGGTCTTTGAAAAGCGGACTACTTCACCGTTGATTGAACCTCGTAAGCGATAGGTTAAAATACTGTTGGGTTGGTAAGCATAGACGGGAAAAATCGACCAATAATCTGATATTGCGTTTTAACCCTCCGTCTCTTCGACCCCCTTATATTTTTATTGTTATGGTCCTTCCCGTGGCACGTAAGTAGTTGGACTTATCGTCCTTTGCACGACAATTTACATCGGTATTACATATGAATTTCAGGTTACTTACTTTCATACCTTCGGATCTGTCTCATGAGATAGAATTAGTCGGCACTGGTAATACTTCCGGTTTACGCTGCTCAGGCAATGCGATCAGCCGCCAGATCTGTATAAATCTCGATTCATTGATGAACTCCGCAGACCACATGGAGAACGAACTGCTCCAGATCGCTCTTGACAGTACTCGGCCAGGTTCCAGTAGCCCTTGGAAGTGATCACACCATCCTTTACGTGGTGTAGGGCACCATGAGTTGTTTGGTGACTTCAGTATTCCTGTGCGACGCATGCCCAGACCATCGAAGATGCAGTCGTTCAAAGAGTTGAGACGGGTGTTGTAGGTCATGACATCCTCACTGCCATTGGGTAACTCCGGATAACGAACTCTCACCATATTTGGGAGACACTAGTGGTAAAAACCACTACCTTTCAAATATCCGCTCATAGACTCGGTGCTTCGCTGTTTCGTGCTGACCACTCCTGTTACGTAGCTTCTACTTTGGACTACTTTTATTGAGCCTAACGGTAAAGATTAATCATAGGTAATCGTTTAGCTGTAGAAATCCTCCGGTGGCTATCTGCTATGCTACACGAAGGGAGCACGACGGATGGGACACTGCTAGGTTGCCCAGGCCTAGACAGGAAAAGTCGTTGTTCTAACCGCAGACCTCCCGGTTAGTGAATTCGTGCTCTAACGACTGAGCCAACCCCCCCCCACCGTAATGAGGTGACATCAGAACAGTTTGTTCTCTCGTTCGTTTCGGTATTTTGGTGGTACATCGTCATTCAGAAACCTTGTAGTTATGTTTCGTAATTCCTACTTGTGTAGTCATTCCTGTCGCATCCTCAAGTACTTTATACCGGACAAATCCACATGTCTTACTCAAAGTCATAGAACGTCAGCAAAAGTAGGTATCCTCTACTGATTGCTTGTGATGTTCGCCTTGAGTGATAGGCGGTTCTTGCCTCAGTAGTTACATTCCACTACCGATGTATTTTTTCTTTGGTTTACTAATTTTTTGGACGTGTGGTTATGTCGAATCGCGATTTATTTCTCCATTACCGTGGTCACTGATGTTCTTTTTTTTCGATCACCTTATTCAGGGTAAGAAGGCCAAAAGGAAGGCACGCGAACGTCAACTGGAAATCGCGCGACGAATGGCTATGATGCAAAAACGACGGGAGCTGCGTGCTGCTGGTCTGGGCTCTTTCCTTGGCTTGATGCCCAAAACCAAACCGTTCATGGATTACAACATAGAAATCCCGTTTGAGAAGCAACCGCCGAAAGGGTTCTACGATACGAGCCAAGAGAAGGTTGATCCGAAGCTGTTAGACTTCCAGCGGTTGCGCCTCAGTGATGTAGAGAAGGAAACTTTCATGGAGAGGGAAAAGGTAAGTTGTTTCATAGATAAACTGCTTTTTTTCCAACTTGACAAGGTCATCAGATCCAAAGTCTCTTCAGCGATGATGCTGTAATGCTACGTCGGTATATTGGTTTGTATTTTCGATTCGGCTTCCGCGAATGGTTTTGCCCTTATCAGCCTCTTTCTCTTCTCGTGAAACTTTTAACAGTCCGTCAGGTCCTTGTGAATAATCCCTCACATGACTTGTAAAGTTGGTTATTTGGTTATCTCTGCGGTTCCTATCTTTCGTTTGATCCTGTGTTCAACTAAATCCATTTGCGTTTTTTATGACAGGCACCACTGTGGTACAAGCGTTTAAACTACGTTTCAAAAGCCAGGTACTTACTGCCTTGGTGGTGACTACGACGGGATATATTTCACGGACTGCAACTACCTGAACTTTATGATCAGCGGTGGGAACAACGTAAATGGCGATCTAGTCTTGTTCTCAGTTTCAGCTGCCATATGTAGACTGGAGACCAGTGGCGGAAGTAAGAACCATTGGGAATGGGCCTATAGCCAAGCGGAGCCAAACACCCGACCAAATATTGTGGCAGTAACCAGTAACACGTCTGTAGCCAAGCATAACAACCCCCTGCAATTTCCAATCCTTGATCGAGATCCAGCAACAGTACTCGGATGTCTCAATTTCTTCATAGCCGTCAACAACACAGACACTTGTCCGTAAAATCACTTCGCTTTACCCGCTTCAGTGGCATCTAAAATGCCTCCGCTGTTTTAGCTACTAAGTTCCAGCTAGTAATGAGAATAAACTGCATATAGAGTTCTCGGGATGACAGGCTGGTATGAATGTTTCTGTTCCGAATCCTAGGGAACAATTGCCCGTCGCTACTACCTTTCCGCGAAATCTGATTGACAGTTGTCTGACTAAAGTTGCATCGCCTGATCATTCAATGTAGCCTGACGGGTCGCTTCTGAGTAGATGTGGAATTCCACTGATGTATAGCAGGTAATCTTTTAGTCAAACGTTACACAGTCAGTCTAGAGAGGCAATGGAACACCGGCTGACTGATCCATTCGGCGATGGTACGGAAGAGACACATTCACTGGAACATTTACCCCATTGTTGGCGATGAGCTAGCAAGAACTAGCAAGTGTTTGCAGATGTAGGTCGACGGAAGTGTCGGCGGGACGCAAAAATTTTCATGAATGAAGAGAAAGCTATGTTTGCGAGATCCGAAAATAGAATTCAGACTTCACTGAGGGTTGGATTGCTTGGTTCATTTGAAAGACCAAGTGGCGAAGCTTCGGATGATTGTAGGACCGCGATAGGACTACTAAACTGTTGGAAGCTGGTGAGTAAATGAAGGAGAGGTAGATAAGCGTTTATGGATTTGAATGTTACTGTGTCCATCGGGCCTCGAACTTATATGTTTGTAAGGCTGGTCCTCATCATACTGGTAGCACCTGTTCGGTCACTAATAATCTGAGTTGTGACAGATGTGTGTAAAGTTGTGCCATCCGCAAAACCGTAGAAATGGAAAGGGGTGTGTTGATAGACCGAAGGAAGATTGTAGGGTAAAGGACAAGACCTTGGGGAGCACCTGCATTCACCATAGATCCGAGGGTGATCATCGTTGAAGCCTGTCTGGACCGATCGGTTTGTTAGGAAATTCTCCGTTCATCAGTTCCGTACACTAACATTCTGGCAATCAGATTGTATTGCCATACTCAATGGGAAAACTTTGTGGCATCGAGGTATGCCAGTTCGGTTTCATTAACCGAGCCAAGGGCAGATGACAATAAGTGTGGTACGTACACCAGAAAGTTATCAGTGTAGCTATTGGGCCTGAATCTGTATTGACGATCACTCTGGAAACTTTTGTCTTCCAAATTATTTTGCAGTTATTTGGAGATCACTCCTGATCTTTGGAACAATTTGGTAGTTGTTCGGGTCAGATAAGGAGCTGAGTTTGGGAACAGGGAAACCATTGGAAATAGATGGAACTACGCGAGCACAGATGGGAGGATGGAAGAGACCATATACAATTGGAGCGAGTTATGGAGAATAAGCGCCGAACAAAATAAGGGACTGAAGGGTTAAGATCCTGACTAAGAGACCCAGTGATTCCCTATCGGTGCTTAGATGCCACGCCACTCGATTGAAACACAAGGGCTTAGGTACTGCCAGTTCACTCCAAGCGGACAGCAACAATTGAGAAATCATGGTTTGGGTTGAATCATGAACCTTCTGTTCGGTAGCTTCGCGCCTTAACCACTGAACGTTCTCGGTCATTGAATTTGGGGAAGAAATTTGAGTAAAAATTTCAGCCTTCTCTTGAGGAAGCGAGTTGGACACTCTCGGAGTTAGGATTAGTGGAATAGAAGGAAGAACAGAAATTCCGACCTATTGGCTTTGGATGTCTCTTCAGTTATAGCCATCCGGAGAGTATGTTTGACCGTTAATCAGCCTTCGCACTGACGATGTTAACCATGTAGGAATCTCGGGCAATAACGTAGTCCGAATGAAATGAAGAGGAGGAGGGGAAAGCCAATTCGGATGCATTTGTGGCCATTTTCTAATAGTGCGAAGACGCGTGATTAAAGCATTCGGGGGATGAGAGTTGGTCGGGGTTAAAAAACTGCGGGACATAAATTCCACCCTGAAGGATAGTTGCGAGGTTTTCAGAGAAAGTCACGAAGTCGTTGGGGAGACAGCAGTCCCAGGAATAGGAGCTGAGGAGTTGTCCTATACCGTCCTAGTATGCGGACAAATGGCGCCAGGAACACGATGGTCAAGCGAACTGATGGGACAGAGTAGTCAACTGGTAAAGGTGGGCTGTCTATAACCAGGTCTGCAGTCTGCAGTGAGTCACCATCATGGTCCCGAAGGGGGACCGTTCGGTTTAAAAATTTTGTGTTGGCAAATAAACTTTGTCTGGCGACAGGTTACGTCCGCTTGCACCGGAAAGTTACTCACCCAGGCTTGTCGACAGTGAAACCGTTGAGGACTAAAGGCTCAGCAATAGGGCCAGATTTTAGTGTGTTCGCAGCTGATATACAACGGGGAAGAAAGTTGAGTTGAGCCCTTGCCATCCGGTGACATACGCAACGAAACTACTCATCAATTTGAGCGAAACGAAAATTATTAAAAGTCAGCCGAGGGGTAGTGATGGACAGAGAGGAGGAGAAAAAAGGGAGGACTTGGTGTAGGCACAAATCCCGCCCTTGAAACGGATGTGATTGTGTAAGAAGTAACGAGGGTGTTTGAGATTGCCGTTGCCGGAAATTCGTATTTAAGTGAAAAATAGAACATTTATGGGCGGTGATGGGCTGAGTTAGCATTGCAGTTCAAATCACGATGTTAGAGAGTAACGAGGCCTTGATTTTGTGAAGAGAGTGTTCGTTCATGTAACCGGAACATTCAAATCAGCTAACAGTCAACAAGGTATGCACTGGCCAAGCAGCGTCTTGTCTTAATGATTCAGCCGTTTTTGGTAAATCCTTCTATCTTCTCATCACTGATATATCCGTGGGAGTAGTTTTAGCAAGCGATTTTCTCATTCTTGTCGTTCACAATGTGTTATCTCAAACAAAGTATGAAATTGTTTCATGAATCACCACCATATGATGGAAAAAAGATAATACGCTACGTAAAAATGGGTCAGCTTACTAAATACACTCATTTGCAAACTAGTTTGGTGTTAGCGGGAAACTCAACGGCATTTCATCTGAATCTCGTTTATGATGTTCTTCAATGAATGTCCGGCTGGATATCTAGGAGAAGGTATTGCACCAAGAAGAACCTTATTTGGCGTAAGATTTTTTCACATGCGGTATAATCGTATCCTGGCTGCTACCCCTGTTAATTTCTGGTCACTAATTGTCGCTTTTAGTCTCCTACCTTATGAGAACTCGATCGTATTTAGTTGTGTTCTCACAAACAGCAACTCAAGTGAAAAACACTGGAACACAACTTTTGGTGCACCCATTTGCAGAGCACAAAATGAGTGTTACAGACGACTTTCAGCTGACAGCGCTCATGATATCTTTAGAATAACCCACAATATTTCGTTTGATTTAGTTAAATTTAAAATTGAATCCCTTTTTACCTTGAGGCATTTGTAGACTGGGTCCGCGTTCTGAGGTCGCACGACGTGAATTCTTATGAGTTTTATGTCTCACTATTACTTGTACCGGGTTTCACATTTTGGTTCTATTCAATGTGTTCAGCGTGAACGGAAGAAGGATGCAGAGCGTCAGGCAAAGCGACTACAGAGTGATCTACCTGGTGTTCTGCGCGGTGGAGCGCTGGACGAGCCTGTTCTGAAACGGTCCAAATTGGTTCTACCTGAACCGCAAGTTTCCGACTTGGAATTGGAAAACCTTGTCAAGGTGAGTACATGGTAAATTTGCTCACTTGCCTACTTTAAATCAGCCTATTTTGGCTAACACTCCTCCGAATCTCACACTTACCAAGTGATCCTTCTTGTCCAGGTCGAGAATATCTGGCGCTACTTTAGCTCTTCAAATTAGATCAATAGAATGTCAACTTTGTCAGATTCCTCTGTCATTTGATATCGTACTTGGTCGTACCTAGTTTGTACTGGTGGCTTTTCCAGGGCACTGTGCTCCCCTTTCTCAGAGGAAGACATGTTCCAAGAAAGTGGAATAAACCGACTTTTACAGTTGCGTACATTGCCAGGCATAGACTACCATCCAAGGTAGAGCATTCAGGTTGAGAAATATACCTTATGCATATATGTCAGTGTGATGAATTCGGACCGTGACTCTCCGGTGGGCAGACGTTGAACAGTGACAGTGAAGTTCTTGAAGACCGTTGATTCGAACGTTAATTCATTACACGGAAACGCTCTGAGGTTGTTATTTGGAGCCAAGCTTCCAGAGCGCAAAATCATACGAACAGGAATCATGCTGTCCGCGGAAAGGTCTCTTAAGAAATCTGCTGTAGACAACCAACGAAGATAATCTTTCAGCTGTAATGCCCTTTTGGTGCCTAGCTGCCATGCCACCCGAAGGAAGCGCGAGGGCTGGGGTACTGTCAGGTTTCCCTAGCGTGGACAGGAGTCGATATGCAGAGGTCAGGTTCGAACCACTGAGCCATCCCTCCATCTGCTGTAGAACAGAAGAACTAAAAAATAGGAATGTTCTGTCACATGAACCACAGTGTTTCATGTACATGGTCGATGATTTGAGCCCGATTTGAGCTGAACCATTCTGGCCCAAACCGTCCTCTCATGTGCTGCATGAGGCTACTTCGAGAAGCATGCATGTCTTCAAGGCATCAAAGTATCGGTAAATGTTGACTCTTGTCTGATCTACCCAGAGAAGTATTGGTTGTTTTCAGTAGGTTATTTGACCAATCAAGAGAGTGAGGTGCGTGGAGGGCATGGATGAACTGGGACGTTTTGTGAATTTCGAAGGCACAATCGGACACTGAAGGCATTCTGGACTGTCTGTTTCTTGGATGTTTCATCTTAACACAAGTCAAATACATCCGACGAAGCACTTGACATCGTGGATACTAGCTTGATTTTATGCTACCCGTTATTCTCCGGCAAGTTAACAAAATAACCCTGCATACTTTTTCCCCACATCATCTCATGGCCGTCAACCCTTTTCATCACCATCGAAGACACCAGTGTTGACATTGGTGCTCTACTGCCGTACAACCACAAAGCCTACTTAATTATGTTTAAAGTCCGAAAATGAAATAAGAGTGGATGATGGACGGACCTTAGGTTCTTAGACATCCATGTGCTCATTCCGACAATCTGGAAAGAAACCGACGGCGTGAACCCCAATGGCATCGATTAGCCGCCATTTCTTTCAGCTAAGTGCGGGGTGGTCACATCGCATCAACACCCAGACCTTCATTGTTTCTTTCGTGCCCTTTTCTCAAGCGTGCCTACTTCGCAGTTGTTGCTGACACTTGACACTTAGCATCAGTACTGTTTTATGGGATTGTGTTGGGTTCCCCCTTGGGATCTATCTGTCACATTTCTTGCTATAGGACTGCAGTCTAATTCTCGCGCTTCAACCCAGTCAGATTTATCCACGGCTGGAAAGATTAAGTTATGAGATTTCGAGCGCTTATGGCCTAGTTTATCGAAATCATTTACATCCTTTACCGTCTGGTCAGGTCGTTATTGCACACTATAGCCCCATCGAGGATGCAGGGGTTGGTACTCTTTAATTAATGAATTGGCTAAATCCACCGCACACCTTCCGCACCGGAACAGAGTTTTCTGTTTCACTTGGATGTTTCAGACAGTTTTTGCATGTGCAATGAAATGTTTTGGTTTTGCGGGAAAGAAGTACCAAACGATATGTCGTTTCTCTACCTCCATTAGATCCCATTAGATCCATTAGATCCCATATTACTATGAACAATTATGTTTTGTTTCACTCAAACTGACCATCAAATCAAAGCAATTTATCACAAGGATGTATACTAACGTAACGACGAGAATATTAATGATTACTGAAAACTAGATAAACAGATTTGTTTTGCGTTGCCTCACTCCGTGCCCCAATTTCACTGAATTCAGTCATTACTTCAAATGTGGCAGATTCCAGCGGATTTTGCTCAACACGCATCCTGAGCTTTATCCTGCCACAAAGAATCCACCGATGCCCTGGCTTGATATTTATCAGTAGGGTTTGTGACACCAACCACTTAAAATGACTGTTGGCTATTAAAATAAGCCAATGAATCGATTAGCCCGTTCGTTGTGTTCAATAGGATGGTATCTCTTTCTGTTCTGGGAGTTTTGTTTCCTCGATAGAGTGGAGTTGGAGTACTTCACCTGAATTCCGTGTGAGTCTACTCAGTAACACAATAGAAAAATCTGTCTAACAAACGTACTTGTTCTGTGAGCGCACCGTGCGTGACTTTTGAGCGTCACTAACGGATTCTGTTTGGTTTTTATAGGTTGGACAAGCCGGGGAGAATGCCGTCCGTATGGCAATGGAGGACTCTGGTTATGACGCGGGCTCTGCCACTCATCCTCTCCTCCCGGACTATCCAAGTGCCGGCGGTTTTGCTACCCCAGCTATGATTGCAGCCCAGCGAACTCCCGTCGCAATGGTTGATTCGGTTACGCGAGTGAGTTTGGTTTGATTTATCATCTAGACCAATGGTGTTGCTTAAAAAGGTCACCTATGCTTTCTCAGACAGCCTGTTTCCTCATTCAAACATTTCGCACTATTCACGAACCTACTAACATGTTTTTTGGTTGAACCATCATCCACCATTTATGACCACTGTAGGAACTTCGTAGTCAACATTTCATCCCTTTTGCACTCAAGAGGACGGCGATGACGGTTCCATCTGAATGCGTGGACGTAAGCAGATTTCCATCCATGTATTTAACGCATTTTTTTCGAAATAAGTTCACGGGAACTATCCATTTGAAAAGGGACTTGAACCGAAGTCTTGTCATCATCATCATCGACAGCGTAACATCAGTGTTCAGCACGGATGCCTCACTGCCAAGCAACCATGATTTATTTGGAAGCTTTATTGTAAAGAAAAGAGTAAAGGTGAACGAGGAGGGGACTTAGTGCTAGCCTAACACAATCATTCCGAGGTGCCTATACCTCCAAACGTTCAATCAGGCGATTTGGATAGAAACTGACAACAAGAACGCCACTGACATCGGTTGGCAGCCATATCCTGTAGTGTCCCCGAAGTCTTGGCCATCGTACTGCTTGTACTAGCGCTTTCCTGTATTCTCATCAATTATCAGCATGCTCACTTTTTAGCTTCTAGTTAATCGCAAAACTTTAGTCGAATCCATTCCAACCGCCATTCTCAGATGAGTAGCATTCTGTAATTTGCATTCTTTCTTCTCGTCCCGCGTTCCACACAGGAGGCCCAGAATATCCTGGCACTGCAACAAGTACAAACCCCGCTTGTAGGTGGAGACAACCCGGAATTGATTGGTCATTCCGATTTCACCGGAGTCACCCCCAGTCCAGCAAATGTGTTGACTACCCCCAACACACTTCTCCACAGCCAAATTGTTGGCCCTTCCCCATTTCGCACCCCCGGGCAACCAGATAGTGGTATGTTTTCAGTCAAATTTCAATCGGCCTGCCGGTCTCCTTTGATATGTTGGCTATTTACCTGTTACGTTTCCTGGTGCATTGTAGGGCATTCAGCTTTCCTTTGGCTGGAAATTCGCCTACCGGAATTCCTTAATGCGAAATTCTCCGGTCCCAGTATTTACATTGATTGATCTAAGGCGCTTTCTTCAATGGCATGACAATTTACTAAGTAGTTTTTCTGCTAACTGGTGCAAGTCTGATTTCCGTTATACTTTACACATGTACTTCTCGGGGCTATGCAATCGAAATTTTCGAACGAGGATTGTATTTTCAGGATTTTGGTTCCATTTCCATGGGTTTCCTCAGTTTTGTCTCTGGCCTGGCCGAGCTATGCCTCGGATTAGATTAATCGTTCACGGTTGGTGTTGATATCCAGAAAACTGCGCTCAGACTGTTGCGCTCATTTATCGTTTACATGGATTTTTTGGGTTTTAGAATCACTTCAGTTTGCCTTCTTCACTTGGCTGGATACTCCTTTTCACTGTCTGTTCACAGTCTATGCCTGTTGATATTTTTGACTTCATACTGGGACTGGTCCAAGTGTATGCTCTTGTACTCCCATCACCTCGCATAATCGAGCCTACTCTCTGGTTTGTGGTTGCATTCCAGCTACTCCTATGCTGAATGGCACACCAGGTTTGGACGCCTTGGATCGACGTACCGGAGCCATGCAGCAGGCCACTCCATTGAGAGATCGGCTAAATATTAACACGGATGGATTAAACGACCCGAATTCCTTTGGACTCGATGCTCCTGCAGCTGGCAGCAAACTCGCATCAAAAGCCAGTCTCCGAAAAAGCTTAGCAGACTTGCCTGCTCCGAAAAACAATTACGAAATTTTCGTACCAGATGAAGCGGAATCTGGTGCAAACGAAAGCAGTGGTGGTGTAGACCTAGATGAGGATACGGTCAGCTTGGACGCTGGTGGTACAGCCTCCCGTATTGCTGATCGAGCGGACTTGGATCGATTGCGCGAACTGGAACAGGCGGCAGCCGAGCAAGCTGCGTGGTCTAAACGCAGTCAAGTTGTTAGGCGCTCACTTCCACGTCCGGCCGATATTAATCACACGGTACTCCGGAGCGTCCCAGCTTCGCAAACCCCACAACAGGAGGGAGCAATCACTGATTTACAGCGTGTACGTCTGGACTTGTCTTCCTGAATCATACTTTTTTCTTTATCTTAGACATATATGTACTTTTTCGGATGTAACACAACAAAAACAGGACCAAGAGGTGAAACAGCTTCATGTATTTTGAAGGAAGCTACTGTCGGATTTCCAAAGGTTAGACAAACAGTTGAAAAGTCGAGGCTGGTTCAAGCTACAGACCTGCCGGCTATTTGCGTCACCCCTTGGTCGCTGACAAAAAAGTACATGTGGCAACAAAAATGATGTGGACTAATACACAGCAGTGGGACGTCAGGGAATTCGGACATGTAAATATTGGTGCGATCCTTGAACTGGGACGCCCGAATTTGGGGTGGATTTTCCGGGGATCCAGAGTTAACACAGTAGTGGGACGTCAGAGAATTCGGACATGTAAATTTTCGTGCGATCCTTGAACTGGGACGCCCGAAATTGGGGTGGATTTTCCGGGGATCCAGAGTTTTCTTGGGTGGTTGAAAGGCAAGGGGACAAATTCCGTTCGGTCACTAGGGTTGGGATTTGGTTTACAGCGGAAGATAATCAAATGTAACGGAAAGCACGAACGAAACCTAACAAACTTCAGGTTTGGTTCGGAAGTATCCGCATTCTGGAGGCTCAGAAGTTATGATACGTTAAGATTACATGGTCGATCGATTACGGAGGCGGCCCAACTTCGGGATTTGCACCAACCAGTCAAAGTCGATCGAGAGCGGGGCCCTAAAAAAGGTGGTATTCGAAAATGTCCGGTCGTTGACTGTTCACTAGGAGCCGGGTGCTGTACAGATCCAACCACAGGACTTATTTGGAGGAAAGGGATGTAAAGAGGTCAAACCGTTCCACCGAGACTGTGAGCAGGGGCAACATTCATTGTTTTCCTTGTGTCTCGTTTGTCGCCACATTGAAATTAAGGTAGGATTTCGGGAGCTGTATGTAGGTTTAACGACACTGAATTATTGCCTCCTTGACGAAGGCTTAGTTCCGAGACAGGACAGTGGACAATATTGATTTCCGTGACAGGGATGGAGCAAAAGCGCTCCTTTATGAAGTTTCCTCATCAGTGTACGTTTTGTTAAGCTTCAAGGTCGACTTCGGTTTCTATTGATTAGAGATATACTGACCACAGCTAGTCCAACACTGTCTACTTATCCAGCGACACTGATTCTCTTTCGACAACTAGAGTGGGATTAGAATGTCGGAATCGCGGAATCAAATGAAGGGGATATTGTGGGGTTGGCGTATCATATATGGATGGTGATGAGTTATGGTCCTTGGGGTAACTGAGATAATGGTGGTGAGTAATTTAGGTGTGAAAGCGAACTACTTTTCTAGAACAGTAGTTGTGAATTTGCATGCTGTGGTTATTTTTCAGGTTTACACTGTGTTAAGAACGAACCTAGTGCCCTTTCTTGGCTTTTGCTTTGCTTGCTTCTCACATTCCCCGTTCCCTCTGCTTTTAAAAGGCTGAAGAGATGATCAAGCAAGAAATGCTCACCATGATGCACTATGACAATATGTTAAATCCTCCTCCGAATCTTTTGACCGAGGCTGCCAAACAGGCGACGTCTGCTGAGGGAGCCAAATCATCTTCACAACAGAAGCGCTACTTACAGCAGATCAAATCTGGTCACGAAGCCTACTTACGGGCTAACCCCTATGAAGAATTCGATGAGGAGGATTTGAAGGCGGTAAGTTTTGTGCCGCGTCAAGCAGGCTGCCCTCTGTCTGACGGCTGGTTGTAGTATACTGAGATTACACCGCTTGGTTCAGTGTAGGTTGACTCGCGTGTTATCCGTTCCATAGACAGCGAATTCCGCCGGTTGAAAGGATGCGTACTCAATCTTTGAGATCCTTTGTGACTCTCCTTGCACTATCGTTAGGTTGCTTTGTGTGCCTCGAACCCGTCTGATGTCAGGAAGCTATGGCTGTGCCGGTTGAAGGGATGCGTACTCAATGTTTCAGATCCTTTGTGACTCTTCTTGCACTATATTAGGTTCCTTTGTGTGCCTCAAACCCGTCTGATGTCAGGAAGCTATGGCTGGGGAAGATAGCACCTCCCATCACCGCATTCGATGGTGCCTCTTGAAAAAGTGAAATTCTGAATAAATGGGTGATGAACAGCTGGCTGAGTAATTCACATATACAAACGTCATATGGGAAGATTGATACGGATGTCGAGATAAGTTTGGTAGCTGGCTTCCCTTTTCATAGTGTTTACTCAGAACACATCAATTCAATTATGGTTTGGACGTTTACACCCAATTCGCATCCGATGCTTCCTGCGTACAGTAGAGAGCGAGACTAGACTAGTCTGGTCTTTGCCATACTGCATGGAACAATGGACGGATCAACAGAGTACTTCCAAAATCTTAGTGAAAAATGCAAAGCCCATAGAAATGCCATCATCGTCTGACCCTGATAGCTATGCTACCCGAGATTCTACGTGATCTTTTTCTTCAAAGGTTGGTGGAGCATTTGGCGAAATTACAGGGGATATGTTTATGTAATAATGTCACTGCGGCGAGTTTTGTATAGTTCCACTGTTAATATGATGGAACAGTTTGGAAACCGAAAAAGTTTTTTCGATTGTGATGACTCCTTGGCGTCTTATTACCACGCTTCCTAAAGGCCGCGTGATGTTGTTCCTGGTTACTGCAGATTGAGCAAGTTTAGTTGAGGAGCCAGAAAATCGTACCATATCCTCTCTTATATGGTGAAATGGTTCGAGCCTGTTCTCAGTGAGAACACACCTCGTTAGTCACATTCCAAATAAATGTTGAAAACACTGCCGTGCGATTTATTAAACAGTTCAAAGTTTGAAGGCGCACAGTTTTAGAGCGGGGTTCAATCAAGAAACACTGTGGAAGATTCATTCACTGTGGTCAATACATCTCCCGGATTGTTTCAGTTCTGTTCAACTGGTAGGATGCATCACTGTTTCTTTTACCAGTGTAGATTAAACCACCCATTTCACCCTTTTACCGCATGCATGCAACAGGCGGAGCAGCTGCTCACCAGCGAAATGGCAGTTGTTCGAACCGGGATGAATCATGGCGAGTTATCCGCCGAAGCTTACGCCAAAGTGTGGCACGAGTGTCTCTCACAAGTTCTCTATCTTCCTGCGCATCGACGATACACCCGGGCGAACCTGGTTTCCAAACGAGATCGGATCGAATCTCACGAGAAGCGGCTTGATCAACTGCGTCAACTTATGGCGGACGAAGCGAAACGGGCTGCGAAGTTGGAAAAGAAATTACGTATCCTGCTCGGAGGTTATCAGGTAGGTGGATATCCCCCTTTATTTAAGGTTCAGTATGATTCGACATTCAACAATCGATTGACAATAGTCTTTTGCCCTATCTAACCCCTTTGCCTTCATAGTCACGTGCCCAAACACTGATGAAAGCAATACAAGAGAGCGTGGATCAGATAGAACAGAGTCAGATGGAGCTGGTGACCTATGAACGCCTTCACGAACAGGAGCGTGGCGCTATTGTTCGCCGATCCGAGGTACGTTTCTTGCCTCGTTTTTTTTCCGTGTTCTGTAACCTTCAATCCTCATCACGATGAAATTGCATCTGCCCAGCCCTTTGTATTCAACGTAATTCTCCGCACAGTCCGTTCATCATCTGGTTTCTTGTTTCATGCCGATAGGCTTTCAAAAGATGAAACTCACTTTGATGGGTGAAACAGCCTTGTGGTGTTGTTGCTTAAAGACATGTTATGTGGGTTTTATGCAGAGGGGAACCCTCTACGTATCCAATATTCTTTCGGGATGCATGCTTTTGAATGGTGTTATTATTCATACCACATTATTTACAGCTGTTAAGTAGAAGTTAGTCAGTGCTTAGATACTATACGCTGTTCACTACATAAATCCACTTATTATACAAGCAACTTGCCGACAAGCAGTTACACCCTCATCGAAGCCACGCACTTGGTCAAATGGCAGGTGGTACTCCATAAGCCCGTCTTATTTGCCCCTCGAGTTGTGGCTCATGTGCCATTCTGTACTCGGTTGGAACCGTCGCACTACATGACTGCCAGAAGACCTCTGTACCGCTCCTGCGTTCAGTTTCTATCCAGGTTGTTTGTTTGTGTTTGAAGGGATGATCAGGTGTTCACCCTCCTACCTTCCAGATTTTCCTTTGTAAGCCAGAATCTCATCGTTTTACGGCACCGGTGTTCGACATTGGTGATGAACTCTTACGACGTCTGTCCAAATTCGGACTTTCCAGGACACTTGCCTGTCCGCGTCCCATAACAATAGGTAGGCTGTCCAAATTCGGACTTTCCAGGACACTTGCCTGTCCGCGTCCCATAACATATTTTATTTTTTGTCCATCGCGTATGCACAGATCCTGGAGTCTGATGTCGACCGTCAGCAGAAACGTGGGGTTGAACTTCAGCGTGAATACGCTCGACTGGTTCGGATGCGTGAGGACCGTGAGGCGGACTTGTTCCTTGCACAAAACGCAGATCTAACTTCCTTGCCCGACAGTGAAACCACAAGGCAGGACCCATCCCCTGTCGAGGCTATACACGTAAAGGAAACTTCCAACGACTCAGGCTTGGATGAAAACGGAGCCTATCAGGAAGGGTGAGTTCTATCAATAATATTGTTTCGATCTACTTTCCCAGTTTTCTGGCTAACACTGGACGACCGTGAATGCCGAACATTAATGAATGTCCCTTTTGATTCGTGAGACCTGTTAGTCATGATTAAATTCAATCGAACGCGTATTGGCTAACGGAGCAAGACATGAAACATACCTTCCTATAATCCGCCACCGCACGTTAATTTTTCCGAAACCATAATTTCGCCCATCAATCTGACAACTTCGTCAGTAACGGAGAGACTTGTCACCACATTACCTCCGACCATTCTTCCGCCAGTTTCTGGTTTACACCGAACTTGCCGCCGATATGATTGCTTTACTCGGATAAAAGTGACCACTGTACGACGAGTACGCGGTTCTTACAGATGACAATGGTGACTGACAACTATCAGCTATGTTAAGGGCTCGGGGAAAGCTTGGTTGGAAACGTTTTCCTTCAATTTTCCCGTCTTTGAAACGACAGGATATTTGGGACACGGGTAATGGGCGCCTGAATAAACACAATGTTAAGATCTAAGAAGCAGCTAAGTTTTTAACAGCAGTCAGAAGTGCTGGTGTAATTCTTTTGTTATTTTCCGGTAATTCGGTAGGTCTTCTTTTCTTCATCAATTTCGATACTCGGGAAAGATTTCGGATCCCAAAACCAGCCACCCAATACCTTTTGCCTCTATTAGAGCCTACCACTTGCGTGTTAAGTGGTCGGTGACGTTATTAGTGCACAGGTGGTGATAGCCATAATACAAATCAGAAGGTGTATGTGCACTAATAGAAGTTTTTAGTATGGTGGACAGTGGAGGGTTACAACACGTATAAAAATAAATACAATGTGAAATGGGAGCAAGTCAAAAAAGGGAACTTATCGGATGTGGGAGTCCCTTGGTGAAAGTCCGGACGGGGGTAACGTGTTTTCTCCGCAGTTTGGCTGCTACACGTGTTCCATGATTGTCCGTGGACTTGGAGTGCTTGGACTGACTCCTTGCTCCCTGCGCGCGCGCGAGTGTGTGTGTTCTGACTGGGTTCGGTTTCCCTTTATGTAGGTCCCAGTGCGTGTACGTGGGCGCGTCGGCACATGAGTGGTTGCTACGCTGACTAGGCGGTGCAGACAATCGATGTCCGATGAGTCAGCTTAATGCGACGCGTTTGTGCGTATGAGAAATAAGACAAGCCTAGCGATCCAGTGAGCGACTGAGTCGAACAGTCAAGTATGTGGGTGACTAGGTCGCTACAACGTAACTTTTTGGTGAGCTCTGTCGCAGCTTAGCTTGGAATCACACCACATCACAGATTCCCCCCGTGACCTATCCAATAAGCTACGGGAAGTTAAACTGATTTCTGGTGGCTCGGCTACCGATGCAGTAAACAGCCTGGTGCGTGGTCAGCCCACCTAGGCAGGTAGAACTGAATGACCGTGGCGTGGCTTGCAATAGCTTAACCAACTCCAGATTGTGATGTCACACGGTGCTGTTGGAATAAGTAGTTATAACGCATGAGGTATGCCATTCGAAAGAAAGCTGATTCGTGGTTCGGCTTCAAGTTTTTGCTCACGCACCTAATTGCACGATCGACACGGCAAGACTGGCGATCGATTATGCTGTCATACCAGACTGCTGTTCAGAACCCCCGCAACACGTGTATTGTGCCAGCAGAGGCCAAAGTGATGGTGGTGTGTCTCCAAAGAAAACATAAACGGTCGATCCGGATGTCAGTAACACACCCGGTGAGTCAGGGAAAACAAGACAAAACAAACGAATGGTTGTGACTTCATATCATGCCGCTGGCTCTGGTAACGTTAAAACCACCAATTTCACTTGTTATCACTAGAAAAAAATGGTGATTGACTGACGCATTCTATCTAAGTTCATAAGGTGGCCAGTTCGAATTCACTCACTGAACGGACCATAGAACCGCCAGTGGTAGTAAAGTTTCGGTGACTCACTTGAATCCATTCAGCACAATCAATCCAACCAACTACTGCCAATTTTTATCGGCGCGGCGAAAAGCTCACCAATAATAAGTAGCCCTCGGAAACTGAAAGCGAGGAGTTGCCTACAAAGCCCCAGCATTGGGTGACCGCACAAATTTAAGCAATGCCATGGGGTTAGTTCCACACTCTCCGGCGGTAAATTGACGGTTTCTAAGTTGCTTTATCCTATTCCAGCCCTCTGTGAAGAGTATGGACCAGTGAACGTATGTAGTCCTGTTGAAACTGACTTATTTTTTGTGGAGGTCTTGTGTGGGAGAAGTTCTAAATAGAAATGAAGAAACCGAACAAGCAAAGCACTATATTGCAGCTCCTATGATCATGAGTAAATGTAGGAGGCCAGGGTGGTCAAATGATAGGAATACTTAAAGCTGGGTGTACACTCTGGGGCCAATGAGCACTGATTCTTTCTAAAAATGCCTTCACCAACTCAACAGTAAAGTTTTACGACCCAAGAGTTCCTATTGATGTCAGTTAACTGTACTGTGCGTCAACGTACTCAAGCTTAGTTGTCATTACTGCATTCATGCGCGTCTTGGATGTAGTAGCTAGATGCACAAGTCATTCAGGTAGCAAAACTGGACCACTGGAGTCAGATTCTTTCACACTTTTACTGTTTCATGCGGTGCAACATCAACTGAAGATGTATCTTTAGCCAGTTATGTGAAATACCCTGTCATCTTCATTAGGTTCACCTATTAGACGACACACTATGGATCTGGATTGCTCAAGACAATCTGTCTAGTGCATCAAGCTGCAACTGTTTGCTTAATTGTTGCCCCGTTGAAGTGATTGTACTTGGTCTCCCATATTTTTGTATATTCTCTTCATTCTATACAATGGTGTAATAGTTCCTGGGTATGAACTGCATAAATTGGAATAACTAGGTCATCATAGAACGCTTTTGTCTCTTGCGCGTTTACACAGCCATGTGTGCCATAACGCATGGAGCTGGCCCTTCATAAATACGTACATGCCGTACCTAGCGTTTCGTACTGTAGAAGTCACTGCATTGTCCTGTAGAGGAAAATGTTGGTAGCTCAGGTATCGTAGATGGTGGTCGTTGGCTTTTTCGCTGAGCTGGATAATTTGATTGCAAACGTTTCATCACCAATCGAGGTTACATCATCGGTGCGTTATTGTGGAGCGTTGTAGTGCGTAGCGGTGGGTTGGTGGTTGTACCTACTACTACGCTCTGGTGATGAAACGTTTTCCCAACAAGCGCCGAGCTCAGCGAACAAGCCAACGACCACTGCGTTGTCCGTTGACCGTGTGACGTTCCCGGTTCTGTTCAGTGCTGCTACGATTTCTGCTGCTGGACTGGTGTTTTGCGATTATGTCATACCTTCAATCTAAATACGGTTGCCACTGTTCTGTGAATCTGTTTCTAAGAAGTAACGGCCACTTTTCGAGTGCTACTAATTTGTCCGATAGAATCATATGAGTCTAATCATATAAATAATTTTAAGCCAATGTAATTGCAGCCAAACCATGGTCTTTTGTATAGTTCATCGCAGTGCACAGGTGACTGAATAGCGGCGAACTAACCGAGAAAAACGAAGCAAACTGGTCGTTTGGTTTGGATTATTTGGTCTGTTCTTAGAGGGGAAGTTGACCAACATTAATTTCGAGAACGAGTTCGTGGTGCGAGCTGAGATTCGATCCCTCCAGAGCCCTAGAATTCAGTGGAAGCTTCAGTGGTCCCCTCTGAAGGATGATCTCTTCAGGATGCAGCTGTATCTTTAATACAGGACATATCCTTTTCCTGTATATCGGCCTAGATCGTCACTTCGTTTTCTCTCATCATTAGTATTACGTCGGTTTTTTCCGTGATCTGGCCGTGTGACAGCTGGATCGAACACTCAAACAGCCGATCAGCTAGGCACTACGATTGACCGAAGTTAGCCGAACGTATGCACTAACTAGATGCGGATTGTCTGTCAGCTTCTTAAGAATGCAGTAACGGTGAACCGTGTATGTGCGTGCAGATTTTGTGGAAGTCTCATGTCATTCTTGCTTTGTTTTTTCCAATAATCTTGTTTCTCTGTACCATTTTTCCTAGTTACGACTCTCCGCCTAATGATGGACCGGACCATTCAGATGCGGTCAGCGATCAGTCGCCGCACCAGGCCGAAGTTTCCGCCT